TTGGAAACGATGGTCTCGAGTATCTTCCAAACACAACTTAGAGTTTTGAACTCTCCAAAATACTCCCAAATTTCTTGATGTATTACCTTTTGCAACACTACCAATGCATTTTCTTCTTTCTTTTCACGAAACTTGTTGAACATGCCACTCTTTGGCTCTTCTCCAACAACTTCCCACAAATCACATGATTTGAGGTATGAAGTCATTATGATTCTCATTCTCTTGTAATTAGAGAACATCATTTTCTCACTAAGAAAATATATTTTCCCATCTTCATCATCATCAAGAAGAAACATGTTTTTTTCTAAAAATGTTGAACTTTCTATGATCAACTTTGTCGGGCCTTCAGGATCGTCTACGCTCTGAACATGAAATCTGGCTCTGATACCACTTTGTTGGCTTTTGCTCTGATACCACTTTCTTGCTTCACTCTGATACCACTTCGTTGGAAATAAGTGGGCTAGATAAACAAATATAATTCACTATAATTTGGAAGAAAAATGGAGGAAGAAGTATATTATTTCAATTAATCCCAACTTATTCAATTTTTCTCTCCTCATAAAATAAGCATAGTACATGAGTTTATATAGGCTCTAAGATATATGTAACCAATTACATTTCAATGCCCAATTACTCCCACTAATCCCACTAACATAGTATTTAGTAGACTTAACTCTCATGTCTTCCACTAATATAAATACAAACTCTCACTAACATAGTATTTAGGAGACTTAATTCCCATACATCTTAATCTTACGTAACCTTCTTCATCAAAACCATTTACAGTGCACACATGCATCATGTATACCAAATACTTAAAAATACAAATTACAACTAAAATTCTAAAATCAAGTTTACTTTCAACAAAAACTACAACAGAAGAATGCTACTCTCTAAGTTCTTGGTAATAAATAAACAAATAAAAATAAACTAAAATTGCAAGAAAAGAAAAAGTGAGAGTTTGGAACATTAAAGATGGCATTGCTAAACTCATCTTTATTGATCACTTTTTTGTTTCTTTGTTAGACGTCTAAAAATAGCACTAATCAAGTCTGCTAAAGAAAAAACTTTTTGCGCCCATTGCTCAAAGAGTGATTTCAGGTGATAGTTATTGAGGTTTGCTAATCATTACACAATAACCTTTTAAGAATTAAACAGATTCTTATAAAAGCCAAAATTTTATATATATATATATACACACACACACATAGAGAGAGAGAGAGAGAGAGAGGAGAGAGAGATGGTTAAGTTTGCCAAACTTCCCAACTATCCTTCATAAATGCTCAATTTGAATTTTCATTACTGTTTCAACAAAGCTAGAAAAGGCAACGGGGGAAATGTTTACTAAAATATTATATAATCCCAAAAAATATGTTCTTTAGACCTATTATCTATTTGGAGTAGTAGATAAGTGTTACAAGGGCATTTGTCTAGCATCTGAGAAAAGTTAAAAGGGTATAAATAAATGGGTTTGCAACACTAATTAATAATTAAGATTTTAGGTAAATGGGCAAACGCTTCTTCATTATAGTTGGTATCAAAGTTAAACACAATCCTTGATGTAGGGGGAAGAATGTTACCAGGAGTACTTGTCTCACATTGGATCCGGATGAAAAGTGAAAGAGGTATAAATGAGTAGGTAAATGCCCACCCGTTACAATAAGCTCAAACCTAGGTCTCCGATACCTCCTAAAACAAAAAAGTTTGAAAAATCAATGATCTAAGAATCATTTTCCTAACAAAAACCCTAAAACAAAAAAGTTAGAAAAATCAACGATCTAAGAATCATTCCTGACAAAAACCTTCAATTTGGAGAATTAAATGTCCATCGTCCTTTAATCATTGAACAACAAATCAACTGTAAAGGAGCTCGCTCTTGTACAAGTGTACAATTCTTTTCCCTCTTATATAGTATCTACCAGTGTCGGACACTTTTTGAAGCACGAACACTCTTTCCAGAAATTATTTTTTATTGGACACGAGGTGGACACGGCTCAGACACGAGGTGGACACGGCTTTGACATGCGGGGGACACAGCTCGGACACTGCGGGGACACGGCGAGGTATATTTTATAATTTTTTTTAAGATAAATGGGGTACTTAATGTAATTTTTTAGAAGTTTAAAAGTAAAATTTTGAAAAAATAAAATAAAAACTAAAACAGTGTACTACATAGTAAATTTATTTTCTCTCACTTCCTCTCTTAGTCTCTCCTCTTCTTCAATTATCTCTATACATGAACAAAACATTTTTTTTTTTTTTTTTTAAAGTTACATGAACAAGACTTTGTGAAAAGACTGAAAGTATTTATATTTATTCATGTACATATTTAGCCCATTATAACTATGTCTCTTTTGCATATCTTGGTTTGAAATTTGGATTAACTTTATTTTTCATTTATTTTTTGTTTTGTCTTGTCTATGTTTTTCTTATAACAAAGATGAAATTATTGAAATTGGTCATATTATTTGTTATTGTTTTATTTGCAATTTTGTATTTATATATACCTGTTTGTTATTAGAAAAATGAATGTACAAGATTCTAGTAATTATATTTTGAATATATATATATATATATATATATATATATATATATATATATAGGCGTATCCCCACTATGTCCGGGTCCTATTTTTTTAAAATTTGCAGTGTTACCGTATCCGTGTCATGTCGTACCCGTGTCCCGTGTCGGTGTCCGTTCTTCATAGTATAATACTCTTTCTTTCATCTAATAGATTTTAATTTACAAAAAAAAAAAAAAAACAGCCAAACAGGTATATATAAATACAAAATTCCACAATAATTATCTTTATTTCCATTATTTATGTAAGTTGGCATAAATCCGCTCTCACAAGGAGGTGGCGGATTTAATTTTATTTCGTGAGAAAATCGAAGTATGCCATCTGACCATTTTCATCTCCATTTTAGGATATCCAAAAATAAATGTCTTTCAAAATAAGTTTATTATGTATTTTAAAAAAATATCCTTATTTTTTGAAAAAAAAAAAAAATCAATATTGACAATCTATTTTTTGAAATTAAAGGAGGCTTAGTTATTTATCAAAATAATAAAGGGGGGTTACTTTTGAAAAATGAGATTAATGCATCCTTAAAAAGTTAAAGTTATCAAAAGAGACAATTATTGTGAACGGGGTATTATTGTGGGACGGAAAAATGTGATATCGAAAAGAAAATAAAAAATGTGACCCTCACTACCCTGGGGTACCATACCCCCAGGGTATTCAATAATCTCTCCGCTGGTTGACATTCAAACCTTCAACATTTCGTTCCGCACATGTTGAGATATTTATGAATGTGGTGTTCCATGCTAATACATGACTTAAAAACATTTTTAATATGCTCTAGTGTAATAATAAACCTTGTTTATTTGCTGATTTTTTTTTTTTTCTGATCATTGGCCTTTGAGTGACCTTTTCCAAACTAGTTTTAGAAAAGCAGAATACAATGGCCCAAACAGCCCCTAAACAGGTATGCACATGAAAAGGAATTTTACCTACGGATCCGACATTCTCATGATATCATATTCAACATTCAAATATGTAATAAGTAATCCCTCCAATAAAAGATTAAGACTTGAAGCAGTGAGAGAGAGAGAGAGAGAGAGAGAGAGAGAGAGTGTGTGTGTGTGTGTGTGTGTGTGTGTGTGTGTGAGTGTGAGTGTGGAGGCAGTATATACTGAATTCCATGCAACAATCATGGCACTTCAATCAATGTCAAAAGTCTTCCAAAAACCATGATGATAGAGTGTGGTATCAGATATTTGGTGGGGCTCACATTGTCCCCAACCTTGTCCTTTCTTCCGTTTATTTCTTCTTTTCTCAGAGATGGTTTCAACTTCCAAGTGAACTTTCCTCAGGTAAAACTTAACCATCCTTCAACTACTTCATTCACAAACTCGATTATTTATATTGGTGTTTAATTTTGTCTAATATTCTAACTAATGGGCAGTTCAAATTTTTTAATATATACAACATATAATTACATGAGCTTGTCATTAGTTTACGAGGTTAATCTTGTCATCATCTTCTTAATCAGACTATTAGAATATGAGTTCACTGTGAGAGAGTACTGTAATGGAGTCTTATCATGAGATAAAAGAACCCTATAACCAAACAAACATGCTCGAAATCAAATTGAATTTTAGATATATCCCAATCCAATCTGATTAGCATCAGATCCATTCATATAGAATTAATAATAAAAAAAAGGATATATTTCACTCCACTTCTGAATTGTTGCTTTCGATAAATCTGAAAATAAAATAATTTATTTCAAAAAGATGCGAATGTAAAGGATATAGACAATAGGACAACAGTCTTTTGATCACATGGATAGTGTCTGTGTTAGACCAAGACCACATGCCCTACACGAGGACAAGAAAATGGCCCAAAATTAAATTGGTTAAGGCTGACCTATGGGTTGTAAAAGAAGGGCCTTTAAATCTCAGAATTACAGCTATTTGGGACACTGCTTTGGTGAGTTTACATTGAATAGAGATCGTAATTTCAACTGCAGTAATTGACTTGATTTATACGTTTATGAATGTATAATAAAATTTACTTTTTTCTGTTGTTTAATATACGTTTATGAATGTATAATAAAATTTACTTTTTCTGTTTGGGTACCTTTTGTCAACACTCAAGAGTGCGTTCACAAAAATATAATCAAAATTTTTATGTTGCAACTGAATAGGGGTATCAAGCGACTAAGACAATCGTTCATTTTGAGATTTAATCACATCTTAGTTGAAGAAGTTTTATCAACTGTGAGGAATGCCTCAACTTTGATCCTGGCATTATGAACACCACACTACATGCATGAGACCTCTCATCTCTCTAGCAACTGTAGTCCAAATTAAGATCCTGAATTCGAGACTATCTACACCAACAATATTCTCAAACCAACATATTGTAGTGCTTAAGTGATCACTTGTCATCCAAACAAGAAGTGGAAATTTTGGCAAACAAAAAAAAGAGGGGCTATAACAATCAGAAACATACTGATGATAAACTGATAAAGGCTCATATTCACAACATTTTTTTTCAAAAAAAAAAAAAAAAAAAAATCACTTCCAGTTTTCAGTTCAATTCTGAGCAGGAAAAAGAGAAGAATTTACCCCATAATCCTAAACTCCTGCTTCTATCGCGTTTCAAGAGAAGCATTTCCACAGTCCTCAGCGCTTCGGAAGCATTGCCTCAGTGCCTCGAGAATGCTTGTCAAACAGCTAATTCAACGAGAGAAATCCTTGGACCAGAAATACTACTACTACAACAATGTCCAAACTCCAAATAACAAACCTATATTGTTTAGCTCAGACTAATTCTGTGAGCAGCTACTTTGTTCTTCCAAAACCTCAATGCAGCCACTGTAGGATTACTGGCTCTACCACCAATATTTTTTCTTTTTTCTTTTTTTTTTTCCTTTGAGAAATTAGATCAGAAGTGGACAACAGATCTCCCGGGTTATGTTGGAAAGCACCGTTATCCAGAACAAACACCGTGTGCCGAAGAGGACTAAAAGAGAGAGAAAGGACTGATAAAGGAAGAGAATGGCGTCAAATGACAACATGGATCTTGCTTACAGAAGCCTTTGTGTTCTAAAATTTCATTACACTATCTGCAAAGAAGGCTGTATGAGGGCAAGTCTTCCAGGCTTGTTACATCTTCTAGAAGAAGCTCGCTTTCCAGTTGACGACGTGTAGCTTTCATTACCGTCTGCAAGGAAAACATAATTACAGAAGAAAACAATACAGAAAAGATTACTAACCAAGGATTAATGTCAGTCATAAACCCTAAGATGTTACAACACATTAGTCTTCGGTGTTTTATTAAACATGATGCTTTTGGGCATTGTAATGTTTATCATCTGCAGAAGTAATTACCAATTTAGTTTTGCAAATCTCAGAAATTCAATACCACTATTTAGTTAAGAATCATATTTTGATAGAGTGATGCTTTCAGCAGCATGCGTCAAGAAAAAGCATAGATCATCAGAAACTACAAAATGCAACCAGAATTTTGACATGCAAGTGAAAGCAATCAAAATGTCTCCCCAATACGTTAACCAGACGGCCATGCTTTAAAATGAATCTAGGGAACTGTTATAACAAGGCAAATGCGGTCCCAAACCACACACAGTCAAAACACAGATTTTAACGGTGAAATTCTATTGATTGAATCTACAATGTGGCTTCCTCAAATATGTTAATGCACAAATTCAATAAATAACTCAGTGATTTGCAGCATTTTCCTCATCTCCTCTAGCGTCTTCCTAATTGAAGAACACTTACATTGAAGTCCATATATGACGCATGCATAGCAAGCCATTGATTGTCCATCAATTTGAATGTGATGCAGTAGAGAGTATCGAATGCCGATTCATCCTCTGTCAGATAAAAGGCAAAGACATTTGTAACTAGAACGAAAGTACTTAAAAGTAACAACAGTTCAACGCAACATTATACTGAATGAAAATGAGAAATTTGCTCCTACTATCAAATTCATTGAGCCCTCATCTCAACAAATCATTAACATGAAAACCTACCAATTGCTTATCACTTGAACATGCAGATGCATGTTTCATTGGTCTCAACTTGTTTTTGTCCCGTCTTTCTTATTACAAAATTCATTAACATCAAAACAGAAGAAAACTATTGCAGTTCTAAAAAATATGGCCCATATTACCTGCAAGAAACTTCAAAAACGTTGCTCCTACCAATGTTCGTGGCTTTACTGCAGAATAAATATCACAGAATTAGCTGATGACAAGCAGTGAATTCCCAAGTCTAATATTTTTCCTATAAAAGTATATTACAATTCATAATACATTGGGGGGCATCTAAATGTAAACCATATTGAAGGGTCCTGCCGCTGAAATGAAATCATTCCATATTTTGTTATAGGAACCTTCTTTCTTTCTTTCTTTCTTTTTCCTTTTCTTTTTGTGTTTCTGTGAGTGCGATATTCATCGCACTTGATCACATAATTTGGTCCAATAATTGGACCATCATCAGTAACACCAACTTACAAAGTAGTTCAAAAAACATTAAAAAAGAGAGAAAAAAAGAAGAAGAAAGGCATCAGTTGTCAAAAACCAAAATTGATATGATTTTGAAGATGTCTACAGAAACATATTAAACTAGTAAAAGAGCTAATAAACATAGAATGAACGCACTGTAAGTCCTCATGTATACAACCACAGAATGACTCAATCTCCCCCGGAGGTCCAAACAAAAAACCCCACCACCCCACCACCCCCAAAAAGGGCAAGATTGGTAAAATCAAGAATGCACAATAAGGATCACAGAAGTTTCATAAAAAATGCAGAAAATATATCACAGAATATACAAGTTCCATTCTGAGAGTGAGATTTGAAAAAATACAAAAAAGTTCGCAAATTTATGTTGTCCAGTCCAAAAATGATGTATATTTTTCAAATCATTCAAAATAAGAAATGCAACAAAATCACAAAACCTGCTTCAAGATCAAGCATCTGAATAAGCATGAATGTGATGTTCACACCACCTACAGCAAATGGGTACTCCCACATGGCCCGATCACCTTCCTGTTTCCGGAGAAGATCCTGAAAGGATTTCTGCAAAAAGTAATTTGATAAATTGTAAGATGCATAATAAGATGGGCATGGGCACTATTGTTTTGGATTTAGACTTCAAACCACCCCAAAAAACACTTTGAGAGCCAAAAATTCAACTTCCCTTGTGGTTAAATCCTTTGAAAAGATCTATCAGAAACTAAGGTGTTATGCATTTGATAGCATCTAAATGAGTACCTTCATGTGTTTCAGAGGCCATTATTTTCCACATAACTTGCTAACCGTAGATACTAAATACATATCTACAAATATATAAAGTTCTCCCAGCCCTGAAGTGTGTTGTACCAGAAAATTTCAGCACCCAAGCTGCATGTGTCAGTATATGGCTGGTTAAGTCTTAATTCAGACATACATATTAGTGATTGCAATTTTGTTTTTCTCTTTTGGTAGGGAAAGTAGATATAGCAACAAGACAAAAGGCAACCCATATACACTCAAAATATGCAAGGACAAAATAATACATTTTTATATGAGAAACATGATAGCCCTGTAAAATACAGAAGAGACTAGAAATTAAAACATCAGGTAAAAAGAAATACATACTACTTAGTTCTTAAATTGAAATAAATAAAAGAGCCATCATTAATTAAGTGTGGCTACAGAGAAACAAACTACTCATTACAATATTACCACATATATTGGAAAAATGGACATACCGGATAGTTTCTAGCGAAATACAATAAGTTCTCCAGTGATATGAAACCACCACCCCTAATAGAGAAGTCAACAAGTCAAAAATCACCAACAGAAGAAAAAAAAAAAAAAAAAACAAAAACCACAAGCAAACAGAGTCCTGAAGAAAACAGACAAAATACCCGCGTACCTAAAGTCTGTAGATGGATCTTTTCCTTGCCAACCCATTTCTTTCCATTGATCAGATATTAAACCACGAAGTTCTACTTCAGGGAAGGCAGCATCCCACAAAGACCTCAAAGCTTCCTATCACAACAAAGCACTGGTAAAGGATACGAGAAAACAGAACCTCACTCTTCAATATCAATCCAATAGATGGAGTCACCACATGCAAGTTAATGGCCAAGAAAGACTAGTTGACAAAATGCAGGCCATCTATTTAAATTATAAATTAGTTCTGAAAAGTTAACAGAATCTTAAGCAAGAGGAGCACCTGGTGCTCAGGGATTGAACTATCATAGGGAACATCTATACGGCTCTGTAGCTTTTGTAAGCATTCCTCCTGAGAACACCAAAATGAAATAAAAAGTCAGGGACTTGTGACGTTACTAGTCAATTACTGTCTTGGACCCTATAAAGGAAGAGAAACACAAAAACACGAGAGTGGATGTTGAGCTTCAATATAGACACACACAAACATACCCTATAAATGAGACATGCATGCATGTGCATGTGTGCTGTATATGCTTGTATGTTCTGGGACATTGATGTCTGGACAAAATTTAACAGTAGAATCTACTCCGCCCACATCTGTCTCAGGTTAAACTAATGTGCATGATACAATTTTTTCAACAATGGGTGGTTGTCTTTTATCTATATAAAGGTTGGGCAAGTTTGAAAAAGAACTTAAAAGAAACTAAATTTAAAATAAAAAAAAAATCAGCGTGCTTCACCACACATAGGAATAGCAATCTGACTCTGACATTTCACATGTACAACTGACCTGTCATCCGTCCCTTTTGGAACAATCCGTAATGCCCTCATTATTTGCTTACCAATAGCTGTTTCTTTGCCTACTTCAAAATGAAATACTATTTTGAGAAATGATATTATTATCTATTTGTGTTCAAATATGTATTTGCAATTCATGAGACACCACCTTGTCGATGCCAGTTTGAACTTTGAATGCCTTCATTGCAACCCCTATCTGAACTCTGGTGTAAACAGAGACCCATCTAAGGTGTGTATTCCCAATATGTTAAAAAATGTGTTACTAACTTACTGAATTAATTCTGAAGCCAGGTCCCTATTGTGAATCAAAAATATACTATCAGGTTTGAGATTGATACAAAATCATCACTAACAAGCAAACAAACAAACAAAAAAGAAAATTATATATATATATATAATCTCAAATGGCTGCTGATGAGGATGCTTTCAAGCAATTGTGCATCAGGACAAGAGCAGTACTATGAAAAATTACAAATGAATTAATGCAATAAAGATAAAACAAATGGTAGGTACTTTCTTTAATCAAGCATGAGGGCAACAAAAGTCTCAAACAATGATTTGGACAATGCAACAATAGTAAGTAACCATTGGAATGCCTTGCCAGCATCTTTATTAAATTATTCAATCTCATGTCCAAAAATAACAAAGGAATCAGCACCAAACAGTTAGATTAGAAATGATGACTCAACATGGAGTGAAAAATCACAAATGATAGAACTGGACGAATATGCTGAAGAAGGAAAAGAATTAAAAATTTACTTCATGATGTTGTTGGAAAAATAAGTATAATGTGACATATAAATTGCTATATAATTATATATAAATCACAAACAATTTTAGATAAATCAAGGTCATATAATATTTATTGAATGATAAACAAAGTAATTTCACAAGATTTTTCAAGAATAAATTCGCAGATTGGCTGGAGTAAACGAGTGCTTAAAAGCTGTATCATGGTGAACTTATCAAAAAAAAAAAAAAAAATCATGGTGATGCTGAAAAAACATAGGTCTTAATATCAGTTTCTGGTTTGGATCTTATTTAAACCAATATATCTTTGGGTCAATACTTAATACCATGAAGAGAAAATCTTAAATTCAAATCATTGCCAGAATATTACCTGGGCAGGAGTCAAATCAAATGATGGACGAACATCATTCTCCCTTCTCTGAGCACAAACACAAGAAAGACCTCTGCCAAGCCATGCTGCTGATCCTACCACAACCTCTGCAAAAAAAAAAAAAATTTGGCTGATTTAAAAATCCTCAAACAATACCATTCCAGATGTCATCAAAAGGGGCTAGATGCTGAGTATAACCAATTAATAATTCTACACAAGGTTAAAAAATGCCACATAATTAAGAGCATCAATGCTTCATGCTCAATTCTCAAGTATTATTACCCTCACAAGTCCAATATAACTGATTTGGTTATGATATCCCATAAATTGATACGAATTAAATCTACAGCAAAACATTATACTTATTGTGGACCAAATCAACATGCAAAAATAGACTGAAATAAGAAGATAAGAAACATTAAAACTAAGCAGTTCTGTTGAATAAATAGTACTAAAGGCACATAGTTAGTAAAACAAAGTATTGTCTGCCAACTGAGCTACATTCCATGGGCACTATATGAACCGTGAGGAAAACATGACAGCAGAAACGGAAAATGTCCCTTCAATAAGGTGAGCAGTTAAACATCTGCTACAACGCGTTGCAGAATATTCTGTAAGGAACAGCTAAACTTCAAGTAAAATTATAAACCAAACCAAAATCGATCATAATCCTTTCATATATCCACTGTCCACATACGCACTAATTTTATAATTTCTAAAGGTATTTTAAATTTTACATTAAAATTATTTGAGATTTCAACTGTAAGGCCAGAATTCCCTATACTGGATTCCAACATTAAAGCCCGCTTCACAATTTAAGGTGCAAACCATAAGGGATTTGAGTTGTCAAAGTTGCAGTGCAAGTGTGCAACCACACATTTTTTACTAATAAATAGAAGTGAAGAATTTAACTATTTTGAAGCTTTGTCACAATTTTCTTACCAAACAACAAACTCTTTTATACAACAAAATTCTATGTTCTTCCTTTCTCTTGGGCCATAAAGGGAATGATCCTCCAAAATCTATTTAAATTTAATGTCTTACTTTTTCAGAGATTTCAGAAAGTGATATAACTGAGGAAGGTAAAGAATGGGGAGAGAGGAAGAGAGGAGCAAAAACCGCATTTCAAAATCCTGTGAAACTTAAAAACACAGACCAAGTAACTGAAAAAATCGGTTGTCTAGACTCTGCAAATGGGGCACAGCACTAACAAGTATGCTTGAGATATGAAAAAAATAATAATTATAACAAAATAGAAAATTCCATACAGGCCCCACCAGGTCTCACCATGAGTATCACATAAGTAAGAATATCTAGGTGGTTTTTTTTCCCGGAAAGAATATTTAGCTGGCTTTTGTGAACACATACAATTATAATACCTTTTCTTTCGAAAAAAATCAGATTTTCCATAAATAAGGAATCTAAAATAAATTATAAACAACAGATATTTTCTTTAGCGTCCAAGCTAGTCACTTGTTTGGTTATGATGAGTTTTATATAGTCATTTACTATTTGGAATAAAATGAGTCTTATTCAGTTTAGAAAATCCTTTATCCAGCAGTAATTAAGAAACCAATTATCCAGTTGGAAAGTCTCCAACTTCTATATAAGCAAGAGTTGTGAAAAAAATTGCACAACTTTGATTACTGGCAGTTCTCTGAAATTATAGCATTGTTTTGATGGTAATATCGATCTATATTTTCTAGGTAAGACTCCATTTCTTTTCACTTTCAGCACTAGTTTGGACAATTAGAAGTATCAATAAGCCCATCAATTAGCCTACTTTTATCTCAAAACCTAAAGCTTTGATCCTATAACCGTAAGTCTATGCACCCCACCACAAAAGCCCCTAAACACTTGGTTTCGCTTGCTGTCTAGAAATTCTACCAATCTGAATCTTTCAAATTTACAGCCACTTCAGCTTTAAATTTTAACCAACTCAAGACTAAATCCATACCTGGACTATAATCTTACCTTCTCAATAACAAACTCTAAAAGTAGAAGCCTTATCCCATCATATTTGATCGTGGGGGTAACCTTGATTATAGCAGGATCCTACATAAAAAACACTGCTAGTTTTCTAGCCTATGAATGCTACCAGATCTACAAGAAGAAAGAAAGAGAAATCAAAATCAGGAATCAGCAGCAAAGGAAGAAGCCATTGAACAAGAAAAAACATGTTTCAAAAGAGACACTAGGTGCATACTACGTAGGTCATACAATTTATTCTATCATTCACCCATCCACCAGAATACATACATATTTTGATAACTACATAGACAAATACTCAACTTAACAAAGCCTTTGTCCAAATGTTTGGGTTCAGCTACATGAATCTTGCTTCATCATTCTGCTCTATCTAAGGCCATAGCTTCATGTAAAGCACAAGCTACCGTATTTTTCCTAACCATCCAGGCCCAAACCAATTTTTCAATAACTACATATAAAAAATCATATAGCATTGATACAAAGGTTGAAGACCTCCAGCCTGAAAAACCGACCTGGTAATATAAGAAAGAAAGTTCTACATTAAGAAACTGTTGTAATATTTACAGTAACATAAAGAGATTGCATCCAGTGCTGGCAGCTCACTGCTGCCACATCCAAGCAACATATAACTAGCTGCAAACCACCTTTCTCATGTTGAATAAAAAGACCTCAATGTGAAACAAACAAAAATTTGGCCATATAGACCAAAAATCTGGAATTACACCAGTTTTACTAGTGATAACTGATGAGCTTCACTTCATAACATGACAAAAAGAAACTTCTATAGTCTATATGACAATAAAATTGACATTTCATTCTACACTCTCTTCAATAAACAGATAAGATCCATATCTGCTACAGTTAATATTTCAATGTTACAATACAAAGCAAGCCTTGTTTAAATTTCTAATGTACGCAAATATGTTCCTACCGCAGTAACATGTATACCTACCTAAATATGCATAACAAATTTAGAGGGAAAAAAATAAATAAATAGAGTCCGCAACTGCTAGTAGCTCACTTGCCAAAAGTCTCAATGCAAGCAAGCATGAAATATTATATCATCTAATTTCAATCAACGGATCCAAATTTCCGAGCAAGGAGGAATATATACAAGCATATATGTGTATAATATGTATATATATATATATATATATATATATATAGAGAGAGAGAGAGAGAGAGAGAGAGATTAACATTTTTCTAATAAACAACAATGAGCTAGCGGAATATACCAGAGGTTGAATGGCAGACGTTGCCTCGTCCAAGGCCTTGAGATATCCTCCTGACAGCGACAAACGATCCACCTCGATCATCCATATCCACCTCCAAAGGCAACTAAACCGCCATCACACCAAATTCATATACTCATTCAAATTTAACACGCGAAAACAGAGCAGACTACAAAAACCAGAGATTTCTCCAACTAAACACGCCAAATTCGAAACAAAACCACCAGAACTTGTTCTCAAATGCAAAATGCAGAGAAGAACTCAGTCGAATCAGATCGGAACAGAGCAAGAACTGACTTGGAAGTCCCGAAGATTCAAACTCCAACTTCGAACCACATCCGAGTGCAAACAAGAAATTCTAACGCTTCTTCAATCCAATCGGCTCGATTTAACCTACCACACGAAGTGTTTATTAAATTGATGAAATGAGAGCACTTCTCGATCTGCAACAAATTCTTGAGAAAAACAAGAATAGTTCACGAAGAAAATGCTGCAATTACGAGAATCCTACAACGCCATCGCCATGACAGGACATAGGCGCTCTCACTTTCTCTCTCTTAAACTACCTTCTCTCTCTATGTATCTGCTGGATTTCTTCTTCTTCGGAATGAGACACGCTGGTGGCCTTCGGCGTTTGTAGAGAGAGAGAGAGAGAGGTGGGGGCGAGCTTCTTTATGTGATTGGGCATTTGGAGATCATCGCGGACGTAGAATGCAACTCGGGCGGGTTGTCACTTGGATCACCTTTTCAATTCAAGTCTACCCGTTGAATTGGGTTGAAAAACAAGTTAATTTCAGATTCACTTTAAGTTGTATTTCTTTTATTTAAAAAATTTGAAAACCAAAAAATCAACTATAACAAAAAATCATTAATAAACTCTAAAAAATATATAATTTTCAAAGAATTAATACACAATAAATTAATGTTTTAAAAAATAAAATATAAAAAGATTGATCACGGTTATAAATATACAATATTTGTAAAATTATATATGGATAATAATATTAAAAATTTCATGTTATCAACACCACAATTTAAGCCCAACACGAATTGGTTTAGCTGTAACTTTTTCTACCAAAGTCTAGCACAAATTTAGTTACCAAAGCTCATGAAAAATCGCTCCAGTTGGAGTTATCAGACAAAATGCATGCTATTTTAAGAGGAGTTAGTTATTGATTGAGAAATCAAACTTATCATTATTGCTTAATTTTTACAACTAGCAATGGATTGTTGTGATCCAAATGGAGCTGTAGATTGGAGAAACGGCTTCTAGAAACTTTTAATAACAATTCGTGTTTTCCTTTGAAAACAGTTTTGAAGAATGTGAGATACTATTCTGAAAAAGCATAATTTTTTTCCCCATCAATTACTACCTGTTTTACATTTAAATGACCGTTATACTTGGTGTAGAGAAATTTTTTTTTTCAAGGGTAAGCAAGACATCATTATTTATATTCCGTATTTAAAAATCACCCTTAATTAACAAGAATTTAACAAGAATAAGAATGGAATAGTAAGTAAAAAAACAAACAAACAAGAATGAGTAGTTAGACTGTTAACATAACAAAAATATTATTAAATTTATCTTCAAAATACGAGCTAATAAAACAAAAATATTACTGTATTAATTTTTTAAAAAAAAATACACGGTAATAACGAACGTGAGTGGAAGTATGAAAGCGACAAAATCTAAGTCACACAGAGTAAGAACTAGAGTGTCAATTCGCAAAGTATCAAAGCAATAACACGTTAAGAATGTAATAACAATACTTTTAATAAGAATTTTGTGATGTGTGGGTGTAGAGTGCAAAGTATCAAAGCAGCTCAGAATGTAATAACAATACTTTCAATAAGAATTTTGTGGTGTGTGTGTGTGTGTGAGAGAGAGAGAGAGAGAGAGCTAAAAATGGATGGAGAAAAAATGATTGGTGCAAGTACTAAACCGGGCATGCCTTGTTATGAGGTCAAAGTTGAGTAAAGTTTTTGATGACACCTATGTACAACTTTAATGTGTGGCATAAATAAAGTGAGAGGGACTAAGGCAAGGGTATGATTGATAATAGGTGTGGGAAGCAAGCATGGCATTAATCACTAGGACTTGTTTTTGGTTTTGCCATCTTGGAAAAGAGAGAAAAATTGGTCACATGGTATGTTGGTGGACATGGACCAATTGATGATGGGAATAGTTCCATTAAAGTGCAACCCCACAAACATAGGCATCATTTTTGTACTTTGCTCGTGCTTGCTTGTATCATCATACCCCTCCAATATAGGGTCATGCCCCACATTCATGGGTCTCCCAACAAATTTGTGGGTTGCTTTTCTCTTCTCTTCTCTTCTGTTACAAAGTTTTTTTTTTTTCCTATTTTATTTATTTATTTTTATCGTGGCAAAGAAAGGGAAGGGTGAGGGAATTTGTACACGGGCACATTGAATATATAAGTACTCTGCCAATTAAGTTATTAAGTAATACTTTTTTTTTTTTTTTTTTTTTTTTTTCGTCCTAGTTAAATACACTCGTTTTTACATGTAACTCAAGGTTTAATTATATACAGGTAAATTACACTGCGTTTAGTTTTTTTGAATTAAGCAATTATATAAATCTCTCAAATGCATTCGAAAATAGAAAAGGAAGTCTCACTTCCTTGTATCTTTCAAAGAGTGTGATTTTCAAATATATGAAAGATCTGTATAATTACGCTCAATTGAACCTATATATATAACTGATTTTGATGAAAAAAAAGTTTTCAGAACATACAAAAGAAAAACATAAATTATGATTTTTATTATTATTATTATTTATTTTTTTTTTGTAAAGGGTAGTTGAGTATTGATATAAAAAGAGCTTTTATGATGCCAATTATTCTAAAAAAAAATTAAGGTGTTAAGAAATGGAGCTAACAATTAATGTATATCCTCATTCATGTGCATATTAATAAGGGGTGGAATTTGGAGAATAAGTAGAAGCAGATTGTTTGGTCCACCTCATTATTCAATGTGTTGTGTAACTCTAACGAAGTTGATGCCAACACCAATGCAATCAAACACCGGGTGAAAGCTACAAAGCTGTGGACAGACGTCCCAACTCTCAACATCATTGTGTTGGTACCAACCAAAATAAATAAAATTTAATTTTAAATCATTAGAAATCATTTTGTTGAAACCAATGTAATCAAAGTGTATAATTGAGTCCATGAAATGTGATATATATATATATATATATATATATATATATATCACAAAGGGAAAATTTTAAACTTGTCGAGCATCTTCAAGTAAGAGAAATGTAAGGTGTAAGCTATTGTGATGGACTCCACATCTTATTAATTTTCCACAATTGTAGTACACTTCTTACAAGATTAATATTATATAAACAAATGAGTTGAGATAATTTTAGAATTATATCCTTTTTTATTTTTAGTAACATTTCTCGAATGGATAATACATTTGTTAAAAGAAAAAAAAAATGGATAATACATATTCCAAAGGGCATTTATTAAGTTGAAAGTCGGAAGAAGTGTAGATGCTGTCGATGGTACGATTTGCTTGATATGATATATAAAGTAGCTTGGATCTTGTTGCATCTCATGGATTATTGGATATGGATATTTGTGATAGCACGGAAATTCCATTAGATCTTGGTACTTGAACATATATTTTTATATATGATATTTTTTATTTTATTTTATTTTATTTTTCGTTTTGCAACCATACAACAAAGAGAAAATGATTGATAGAAGGTCGTGATTTAAAATTAGATTCTGGTTCCTTTCATATAATATTGGGCTATGGAAATAACATCTGGCGGATGATTCCAACGTGAATGGATATCATTATATTGGAATTACGATATATACATATACATATAAATATTATATATATATATATATATATATATATATATATATATTTGTTTAGCCGGTGGAAAGGAACTGAACCAAAATACTGAGCCTTAAAAAATTTGTTAATTTGTTAATAAAATAAAAGAAGTACATCTTCATATTTTGATCAAATGAATATATATATATATATATATATATATAGTACAATAAGGTCGGTGACCAAAGTGAAAGGGTGAGAAATAAGATTGGAATCCAGATGAATAGGTTTTGACGGTAGTGGAAGAAGATAAGGTTTGGTGGGTTATAATAAAGGAGAGGACCAAACAAAGATCCTTCCTCTAACAAGGAGGACCAAAAGAAAAAAAGGTGTTACCCTTTAAAGATGGACACAAATATTCTATCCTAAAAGGTTTATGGGATGGGCACGCATCTCTCTCTATTCAATACCAAACACCCTTTCTCTTCTTTCTTCTTTTCACTTTTATCACACACACACACACACTAAATTCAACCAAGTTGTATATTTAGGTTGGTTAAGCAACCAAACAACCTTTTTTTTCTACTTTTCAGTTCATTTTTTGATCATTGAGACAAATTCAATGTCAACCCACATTAGTTGTGAGCAAAAGCTTTATGAGCTGTCAACAGCCAGATTTTTTTGGTTTGGTAAGCTTGAGCACTGTTTTAAGTGGCCTTGCTTGATATTTTACCTATTTGGATTTTAATTCAACCTGTGGGCCAGCCAAAATGGCAATCCTATCTAGGGCACAAAAATCCAGCTCATCGGATTGCAAACGATGGAACACCGTTTTCTTATAAATTTCATCCTTTTATTTTTTTTTATTTTTTATTTTTTTAACAAATCCTTTAATTGTTTAGTTTGTAGGAATACTGCTAGAAAGAAGAGTATATATGAGAAGAAAATATGCCCACCCAAAAACAAAATGATAACTGACCGAAAAATTTATCATTTTATAAAATTAAAAGAACCGCCCTAAAAAACGCTAAGAATGCTACAAGTGTTTTGAATACAAATGCCACTGAAAAGTTATAATTACCAACAACAACAACTACAACAACAACCCAAAAAAAAAAAACAAAACAAAACAAAAACCTTCAAAGAAACCAAAATATTCTCTCTTCGCTGTTATTGAAAACTAAAGAAAGCATAAAGGCCCATTTGATTGGGAAAAGGAGGAGATGCAAAAGAAAATTTCACATACGTAAACTGAGAGCAAGTCCCTGTCAAAGATGAATTGAGAAATAATAGTAAACCAAACTAAGTAGATGGTTACTGCTTTAATGTGTACCAACAAAGATTTATAAAGTAAACGAATCAACTTGGGATCACCCATATATGAAAGAGAAGGTCAAAAAAAAAAAAAGGACTGTCTCATAACCAAACAGGATCCCCCTTGAACCCCATATCTGTAGCAACATCTCCGTCCTTGCTACAAAAGTTTGATCTTAAATCCAGAGAAATCATAAGAGAATACAAAGCAAACAGAATCCTTAGAACCCACATTGTTTAGTACACATTGTCATCCTTTCTAAATCTAAATCGGCTTGATCTTGAAATGGAGTGAGATGAGAGAGAATACAAAGCACTTCAAGTCCTGCAACCATGTGAAAACAATCACAATTAGTGTGGGTCTCAAATGTGTAGAAGAGAGCCCTTCCTATCATTTTTATTTTTATTTTTCATAAAGAGAGACATTACATCAAATATGACACAGTTTGCATTATGATAAAGAATAGCTAATATAACAATTCCACAGCATGCAAATCAAAATTAAATCTGTTGTTTCTCAAATGTTTCCACTAATACTACAGAATCTAATAAAGCAAAATTCTAAATTTCCAATTTGGTGAATAGAAGATGTACATTGATATGTCCAAATTACAACTTCATACTAACGTTGGCATATACCCGGACCTTTTTTTTTTTTTTTTGACAAATCCAAGCAATGGCTAGCTTAATCGGAAGACCACAACATGAACTCCAGACAAACTACCTATCAGAGAAAGATATGAACTCCAGCCAAACAAATTCAGAAGGTACAAAACAAAAATATGTTCTGCCCTTTCACATATCTTTTGAAATCATTGTATAAATTTTTCTGACCAAGTAATCATTTTGAAGCATCTATTGATAAGATTACATCATAGTTTTGATCCAATCAGCTACACAATATGTACAAGGTAGTTTACGGTCCTGCGGATTATAAATCAAATCAACCATCAATCAAGGCAATAAGAGTAATTATCTACAGAGTAAGCAATATCTTAAGGACCAGATGTTACGGCAACATTTTCATGTCAAAATTGTCATTCATGGTTCTTTTTTCAAACTATTATCAAGTCACCGTGGCTTTTTAAGTTCATACCAACCATATACTGAACTTTATCCCAACAATTTGTGGTTATAATTCATGAAATCTTTTGAGATAATATTGTGACCAGTTCTGAATCTAAGGTCTACCACATATACAATATGGCAGAAGACCTTCCCAAATCCAAGCTGTCTACTGATAAGATATAGCAGATGTGGTAATGCAAAGATCCTACCAAATTGTATAACATGCAACTAGCCAAACAATAATTTGAGGCAGCCACATATCAAGGCTATTCTTTAAAGTTATGTTTAAAATCTTTATATTATATTAGGGTAACAAGGCAGTTGAAATTATGGTCAAAATCATATGTCAAGGCAACATGGCAGTTAAAGGTCCTATCAAGCCATCAGATGAGATGCACAGTTCGCAAGGTTCTAGAATATAAATTGTGTACTGGGGCAAGTAGATTAATGGTCAATTTAACCATGTACAATGAAACAACATTGCAGTTCATAATCTTGCTAAAACTGTATAATAAGGCAAGTAGGCAACATAATGCTTCAGGAGTTGAACATGAATTATCAAGATACATGAAAACTCTTTTCTTTCTTTTTGTTCTTTTTTTTTGGGACAAGTGAGATATGAAAACTCATATAATATGACATACGAAAACAAAGTGATCCAAATATATTAAGATAGCTAACGCCTAACAATACGGTGACAATGTGACATCATGCAATATATAAACTTTTAATTGCAAATTATTATTATTTGTTTTGGGATAAGAGTAAGTAATACAATTTAGTTGCAGTAAAATAGGACTATATGTATTTGTATTGACGAGGCATACAAGACCAAAGCTTCAAAGACATTGAATAATCATGCCATATTTAACGGTTTGAAGAAATTTTGCATCCATTGTGAAAGTAGTTCCGTGACCAAGTAAGCCACAGAATGAGGCAACTATGCATCTAAGCAACATTATAATTCAAAGCCAACCAAACTACACATCGAAAACACAGTAATTCATGACCCAAGTAGCTCATATAAAAGGTAATCAGCAACCAAACAAGGTAAGTTCCAACGAAGTATAATAGGTTGCAGGTGGAGCAAATCATGTCTCGAACCAGTACAATTGTCTACTATCCTTCACAAACCATATGTTAAAGACATCAACAAGGTCAAAGAGAACAATATGTTTGGCAGCTATGTGTCAAGGCAGAATCAAAAGGTCGGGTCCTTCCAAATATGCATGGAGGAAATATTATAGTTTAACATTGGAAAACTTACAGATAAGTTCTACTTTTCTTTTTCAAGGATTAACAATTTTCAATCGACAACATACTCATATTTTGTTTATATAAATGTTTCCACATTTATTCGAAACCTCTCAAATTTTCAGTATTACCTTTTACAAATATTTTGATCATCATTTTTCCAATTAGTTTTTAGTTCATCAGTAATTTTTCTTCTTCTTTTTTTTTTTTTTTTTTTTTTCTTTTTACTTTGAAATTATTACTTTCTTATTACTTTACGTTTTTGTGGAATAATGAATAAAAACACTAATATAAAATTTTCTTTCATTTAATTTGAATCCTATTTACAAAATCTTGTGGAGAAATTTACTTGGTCCTTTTTTTTTATAAGTGAAATTTTACTAGTCCTAGGATATGACTTTGAGATTTTTTTCCATGAGAAAGACAAATATTAGTACTTATATTTTATTTAAAATAAACATTTGAATGATTTTCTTATAGTTCTAATTCTAATTATTTAACAATTATAAAAAGGGTAAATTCTACTTACCTCCCTTGTCTGTGACGGTCGTCTAACTTGGTAACTGCAGTGTATTAGTTTACCATTTTGCCCATGAAACGTTTGCTGTCATTTTAGGTGTTAGAAGGGCAAAACTGATCTATCCATTTTCTGCTATTGACATCAGCAGATTCTGTTTGTCTCAGTTAGATGCCTTAACGGTAAGGGAAATCCGTTACATAAACCACAACCTCAAGGGAGGTAAGTGGGATTATGAAACCCAGAGGAGGTCCATATGGGATATTGACAAGCCTCAAGGGAGGTAAGTGGAATTTAGCCTTGAAAAAATTATAAATTGACAAAAAATTGCTAATAAGAAAATTTTAACATGTTTGCATAGTTAAACAATTATAATTGCAAAATTTAGTTTTAAGTTGTGAAAAGAAAATATAGAGGTTTGGAATAAAGTCCGTCAACCCAAGATTTCCCCCAAGGACATGTATAAGAACATAATGATAAGATCATGTTGTGCCATATATGAAACCACTTTTCAAATCAATTTGCTTGATAATTTAGTTCAGATGGACCACTCAAGTTCATGCCAAAAAAAAAAAGAAACAGAGAGAACTCTCGTGATCATTTCAAATCATTTTGGAATCGACTAAGTAGATCATTTAACGATACAATTACATATATTGACAACATTTTAGCTAATGGCAATTGTTTAAAAATCAGCAACCATTATATAACAAGGTTATGAAACACTACTGCTAACTCAAGTGATCGTTATGTCCACGACATTGGTCCTAATGTCTAATTAATTATCACAGCTGTAATAGTCATGAAATAGCTGTAATGGCCATTATACCGCACTGTGAATGTCTATATAATTATAAAAGATTTTAGATGCATCAAGTAAAGGAATAACATGTCCATGTTCCTACCAAGTAGGACGCACTTCATGGCCCTCCCAACCAATATACCATGCATATAGGTAGCCTAAAATAAGGTAATAATTTAGCTCATTATCCTTCCAAGCTGATAATAAAAAAAAAAGGTTATTTGGCACCCCAAAATACTATATGACTACAAGTTCATGAATGCTCCGTTCGGTAGGAAAGAAAAAAATTGGATGGAAGGGAGAGAAGAAGGGATGGATGAAACATCGCTAGGGATGAGATTGTGTATTTCCTTCTTGTTGTTCGGATGGATGGAAGACTAGAGAACAAGCTCACAATTTATTATGTTCGTTATGAGAGAATGAAAAATAAAATTTAAAATTATTTTTACCATTATGTCCGGTAATATCTATATTATTGTAATTCTTCGAGGATAATACTATAATTTAAAACTTGTGTAATTTTAAAATAGTATTTAATTTAAAACTTCTATAATGGTACATACTTTTCTTCCCTTCTCACTTCCGGCCATTTTTGGACGGATGAAAATTTGTAGAGGAAGGATAATGCATTCCTTTTATTATCATTTATTTCCTTGTATCATCTCTACCAAACAAAGGAAGTTTGTTCCTTCCTTTCTACTTTCTTTCCACACCTCTTCATTCCTTCTTACCGAACAAAGCAAGAAAAAGAAAAAGAAAAAAAAACACGCCGGATTGACAAGTAAAAATGCATATGCTTTAAGACCAACTCAATTCAACTAATTCCCTGTTCCATTTGGCATTAATCATTCTTCTCCATTCTAATCAATATGGGGTCACGACACCTGTTAGACTACATGCCACTTCGTCTTCCCCCACCACCTCAACCCATTTCATCCCATATTTCATTCATAGCTACAACATCCTCAATATATACCGTGTCACACATCAAATTCAAACAAATAAACAGGTCCTTGGAAAGACCGTCTAGAACCAAATTCATAAAATATTCTGCTTCCAAAATTAAACATACAAGTAGATTAAGAAGAGCAAGACAAAGGACCCCAATTAAGAACTTAACAAGAAGAAGAAGAAGAAAAAAAAAAAAAAAAAAAAAACAGCCTCTAATGAAATCTGACCTGAACAAGATAATAGAAGATGCGAAGTCCTTCAGGATCCTTGCTGGTTTGCACATCAACGAGTGACCCAATCTTTGAAGTAGTGAAGGAAATATGCTCATTCCCCATCACAATCTCAAGCTCTTGCCGCCCAACACGATCAGGCTCTGGCCAGTTGTTATCATCTTCCTTCATGATCTAAACAATTAGAGAAGCAAAACCATAAATAACAAATACAAAAAAGAGGTAAAACTAAAAACCAGCTCCTAGTGGATCGAATTACAGACAACAAAATATAAAAATCAATTAATTCAACTAATTATAGCCCTATGAACCCAAAAACAACACCCCTGCAAGCTTCAATTTATCAAACCATGAAATAAACAAATAAGACATAGAAAATAAAAAATTAACCGACAGAAACAGCTAAAAAAATAAAAGGGTATAGTGCAATAAACCCCCTTCAACTATACCCCAAGTGCAACTAACCCCCCTCAACTATGGTCTTGGTGTAATCTTAGGACAGAGAATGTTTTTCAGGTCATTTCTAGCTACCGGAAATTGGAAAAGTCTAATTTACACCTTCCTAAAATCACACTATAAAGAAAATAAAATGCCGTGGAAGGAAATATTTATTTAAAAGACCATAATGCCCTTGACTGATAGTTGGACCCAATCCCTACCAAACATGCTCTATAACAAAGGTAAAATATAACTCAATTCTCCAATCTTCATACATCAATCTGATGAAGACGCCGATTTCCTCTCCACCACCACGTTGAATCAAAGATCAACTCTAATGTCACCTACACTTTGAGACCCAAAATCACAATTGGGACAAAAATTCGATGACCATCACCTGCAATTTTTAGTGTCGATCTGCAATTCAACCCAATCAAGCAAGAACACATACAAATCTCCGTTAAGTCCATGACCGCCACCTACAACAACCTAACACCATCTCAACAGTCAAATATCTCCGTCTCTCACACGTGCACATATGCAATTCACTACCTTTGCCCTCTTATCACCAGCCAAAGATTCGATTAGTTGGCGATATCGTCGGCTGCTGAAGAACCAGAGCGCAGAAAGGGAGCGGTGTTTATATATATATATATATATATATATATATATACAGCACATTTGATGCTCGTGACCGACCCTCCGAGGACCGACATCAGAACTAACACGATCCGAGTAGTTGAAGGGGTTTCCATCGAGATTGCCATCGCCTACCCAGCAATGACGGCTTCATCCAACCGATGAGTTTCAGAACAGCGATTAAACCGTAAAAGGTTTTGTAACCAATTGTCAGCTTCGCATTGGTAGAGCAGAGAGAAAGAAATCAGAACCCCAAATCATTTACGATCATTGTGTGCAAACTTTGCCCTCGCCGTTCTAATTTGGGGGTTCATCGTGTTGTCCCTAGGCTGCTTGATCTCACCGTTGTACATCGTCGGCGGCTGGGGCTGACTCGGCTGTGAATGACTCGCGACGGCGAGCTTGGTGGGATTGAGCGGCGGCCGAACTCATGGCGAGCAAGGAGGCTTCGGACGGTGGAGAGGATGAAAACGACAGTGGAGAGGAGCGGCCGTGAGGAAGAAATGAAGCGGTGGAGAGGAGCGGCCAGCAAGGATGAATCCAACCGTCTTGTTCTGTAAATGGGTTTTGATTTTTTTATATTTTTTTATTTTGATTTTTTATTTTATTTTATTTTTGGAAAGAGGGGATGCGATACACAATGATTTGGAAAGAGGGAAAGAGGGGAGGAGATTGATGTGATACCCACCGAGGAACACCACAGATCGACCGAGGAAGAAGACAATAAGTGAATTAGTTAGGGCTTGTTTGGGTCCAATGGTGTTTCATGGGCATTATAGTCTTTTAAATTGGATAAGGGTTGTATGGTCATTTATATAAATTTGGTCTCTCACACGCAAGGAAATTGATCGACCGGTTGCCGGATTGGGTAAAGTGCAACAAACTGAATAGTTTAAGGAGGTTTTTTGCTCATTTTGAAATTCAGGGGTTTTTTTGCTCAATGAAGAAGACTCACGTTCATCGACCACCAAATCAATCAAATATAGCCATTATTGTAACGGGAAAACAAAAAATGGCAAGCCCTAGAACTCCAAGAGAAAATAAAGCCCAAAAGATTCAATTTGGTTGTATTCAAAACCCTAAAATACAAGAAGAGAGGTAACATTTTGCAAGCAACAGCAACAACAACAACAACAAAACAAAAAATAAAAATAAAGACCGAAACCCTTCAACCCAAATCCAAGGCCAACTATATACAGAAACTATGAATGTACAACCAACAAAAGCCCTAAAGTTCGACCAAACACCAAAAAGAAGCATAAGTACACAAAACCCTAGAAAGATGAAGTGAGAGAGAGAGATGACCTCGCTTTCTGAAATAATGCGGCGACACTCGCGGAGAACAGCAGGGGTGACGAAGACCTCCTTGCGAATCATGGTGTCGTTCTTGTAGTTGGAGTTGTTGGCATATCGAAGCTTGCCGTCTGGTCTGAACTCGAATTCCAAGAACTCGTGCCCAAACTTCCCCTTGTGCCCTACATAGTACCGTAGATAGAACTCTCCATCTTCTTCCCCTGCCATCTCAATCTTCTCTCTACTTTCTCTCTCTAGTCCGTCTCGCTCTCCAGGGCTCGCTGTCCAGTGCTTAGAATGAGAACCGTGTCGTCGTGTTCACCGGATGACAAAATATATAACGGGCTGACTATGGGCCTGCATAGACTAATGAATGATAATAGTAAGAGGCCTAAGCCTAGCCGGCCCAAACTTGGTCTAGCAAGAATATACATTCTCTCATTAATTTTGTACATTGTAAATTAGTATAGTAATAAATTTTCAATTATTATTATTTGAGTAATGATACGGAACGCAAAAGCTGCTGAATCTGATTTAGCTAAGCCACGTCAAATTGTCAAAATTAAAAAAGAAAGAGTCATCTCTTACATAGTAAAAAAAAATCTCTCACAAACACGAAACTAAAAACTCTCTCAAAATTAGATAGAGAGAGCAAAAGAAAATAATCATAAATAGGAAATTACTTGCTCCTGTATTCCATAAATTTAAATTGATAAAGTAAAATTTCATAGAACTATACAAATATAGTATATTTATACTCTGTTTAAACCAAATATTTATTGTTTTACAATTTATATAACCAATTTTTTTTTTTTCTTAGAGAACGTGTATCGCCCCACAACACACACATCATTCAAGTTAAGAGTGCAGTTCGAAAGCGAGACCTCAAGACTTACCTCCTTGATCCCTGCCAATGTTGCTATGTCCAAGGGACTATATAACCAAATATTTATTGTTTTAAGATTTATATTAAGGAAATTTTAATGTCTAATTTATTCATCCTATTAAAGCTCAACAAAAAGTATTTGTCTTTTTGAAAAAAAAAGTAAGGGTTGAGAATAATTTTACAAAAGGTTCTTTGAGAAGAAGTATTGTATATATTCAATTCTGGAGAATTTTTAGTTTTCTATTTGTGATGGGAAAGAGAAAGCACCATGATTTTTTTTTTTTTTTTTTCTTTCCCTTTTTTTTTTTTTTTTTTCCCCTCTTTTCATTCATACTAGGAAACTCTTTATTTTTTTAATTCTGATATGACTTGGCCAAATCAGATTTGGAGAGTCTTTCGTGTTGCCTATCATTACTCTATTTCTATTTATTTTTTAAATCCTACAAACTAAGGGAGGGTGACTAATAAATTTCATAGCTTACCAACGTTTGTTGTTGCATCTCTTCTTTCAAAATTAGAGATGAAAGTTTGAGCATACCCAAAAAGCATTGTGAGTTCTTTTGCCATAAAAAAAAATTTATTATATTAACTTAGACAATCTTTGAGTTTAATCCAATAATCTACCTGTTGAATGATGCTAGAGTTCCAAAGATTCGTGTCAATCCAAGTCAAAACCATGAATTAATTAACGAACCACGACCTTTCACGGTCCTAGCTTGGATGCCATTAACCAACCTTCGGAAGGGCAGCTCTTTCCAGTCTTGGTTAAGTCTGCTGCAGTGCAATCCTATTCGAGATGGCAACCTCTTCCAGCAGGCTTTGTCAAATGCAATATCCATGCATATCTCTCTCTTATTCAGGTTATTGTTTTCAAGCAATTTACCACGCTGAGTGGCCCTGTTGCGAAAGCATTTTCGGAAGCCTTTGTTGCTAAAGCTCTCTCATTTCCGGAACTGTTCTCTGGACTATGGATGCTGGGTGTTGAGACTAGACCTTCTTCTGATGTTCAATCCATCGTTTTTGACATCCAGTAGGCGCTGTTTCAAAACCACGTTAGTGTCATTTATATATTCTTCTAACCCTTTGTTCTAGGGTATGAAATGGTCCCTACCAAACTAGCTCCCCAATTACCCTAGAACTATGGATATCAAATAACAGACTTAGGGTGAGCTGAGGAGCCCAATTGAAAGAGGCACTACCCTGTGCAGATTCAACTCACCCCATCCTCCCCTTTGAGTCCTATACAGATGCTCTATGCCAAACAAAATAAGTGTTTTCATTTGTTGCAAATATATTTTTCCACGTATCAATCACAAGTCTCATCTGGAAATAACTAATTTATTGTCCATCTATTCCAAAACAAAATTGAGCAACAATAAATCAAGTCATAAATATGTTCATATGCCCTAACCTCGAAACAGAAAGAACATGTCATACTATTAGAGAATACAGAGGTAGACACGGAGAGAACAAAAATTTACATCTAATAAAAACTTTAGAAGGCCATTTCTGATACACAGCTCCATTATTTTGGTTAATTTCCTGCCACTCGCTGCAACCAGATAGGGGAGCCAATGCAAGGAATAGCACAGGGTAAGCAGCACGGTAAGAGAGGATCTCACTTGGCACCCAAGATTGGGAACTGCCCAGGATCTCCAATGGATGGGGCTTCCACATTGGTCATTGTTCTGCCTCCACCAAAACCGCCCCCACCAAAACCGCCCCTTGAACCACGTCCACGTCCCCGACCACGACCACCAGGACTGTAGAAATTCTCTCCTTCAGCAGGCTTCAAGAATTGGTTAATGCTGACAGACTAGAAGCACAAGCAAAATCAGTCAAGTAATAAACATAATTAAAGATTAAAAAAAGGACACCTCTGAATGCAGAGGCTACAAATTAAAAGAAGTCCCATTCTAACAGTGGAACAGGACTGGTTGCACAGCCAGTTCTTATCAACTTCCGATGACGCATTTGGCGGATGATTTTTACAGTGAAGCAAGTTCTTAGTTCTTGCCACATCTTGGTTCTAGTTGTTGAGATTTGTGCCATTCATAGCAATAATGAGATGGATTGAGGTCTGTTAGGGTTATACAGGTTGATTCATGCATATGATAGGTGTCCATATGCAGGCCTAAATGAATCAAGAATCAACCATGTCTCACATCTGTTCTAATTCGGTAATTGAAGATAGACGCCCTATTTGCGAAGAATTAGAACGGATCACCGATGAGCTGAGAGATCACAAGTATCATCATAATGATCCACTCCTCATCATTGTTATGGTATGATAACAAGTATGAGAGAGATGTGGACCCTTGCCTTGGTTTGGCAATTGCTTTGATTTATTAAGTGGACTTTAGGGTCCTAAATACGCGTATTTTGGGTAGTTACTGAATCATTGACTTTGGAACACACTCCCAAGATTACATTTACACGGGTATTAATTTTTGATGATTAGTTTAATTACGGTAAATCCAAGCAATTGGTGATTTTGTTATATGATTAAACTGAAATAATCAACAAGTAAAATTAAGGTTAATTATGCATTTGAAATGATGATATTATATTAATCATTGCTAATTAGCGTAGAGGGGTTATTGTGTAAATTAAGAAGGCAGTTTAACCTTCTTCTTATTGGAGTTCAGTCATTTTTATATAGTGGTATTAATTATGGTTAATGGGTCGATTTAACTTTTAAAGTCATGAGATGGCCGGGTCAAGTTGATCAAGCCCATTCTAGCCTAAGAGGGATTGGGCCAAATTTTGATCCTCACTTCTAGCCCAATTGTATAAGATGTTAGGTCCAAAGGTGTGAAGATATACTCTCACATACATGTAGGCCCAGAGACCCATTTTAGGGTTAGGGTATGACAATATGACATAGAAGATATAGAAAGAGGTTGTAGAGACTTCATCCTCTCCAAAAGGACACTCTCATATACACATACATCTCTCTCTACAAAGTTTGAGGTTCCCACATGACCATGGCCTAGAGAACTCCTATTGGGCCATAGAGGTGAAGCATCAAAGGGTGGAGCTAAAAGCTTGGAAAAGGAGACTAGAAGAAGGAGAAAGGCACTAGGAATCACCTTGGTGAGTTGATTGTCTTCAAGGGTGAGTTCTCTAACTTCTTATGTGTTTATTTCATCTATCATTCATTAATGTATTTTAAAAGAAATCAACTCAAGTCACTGCAAAACATTCTTGGTGAAAATTTTTCAAAACCCATTTCCTTTCACTAATAGCCAAGAGTGTTTATCATTCACTAGACTCCCTGCCACCTACAATGATTGAATGACAATTCATGCACCAGTCACCCCATTTTAAGTGGCGCTTACCATTTTCAATGATATTCAAACTACGTTATCAAACGCACTTAATTGGATAAGCGCTTAGTTCGTTCAGAATTAAGCACTGAATTGAGTTATCAAAAAGCAGCTAAATTACAAAATGGTGCTTACCATTTTCAGTGATATTCAAACTGCATTGTCAAACACACTTAATTGGATAAGCACTTAGTTCGACAAAATTGAGTTATCAAAAGCACACCCCACACGGAGAAAAGAAAAAAAAAACGATGAGATGAAACAGTCAGTAGCCAAGTATCAAATTGTCTGTAGGAAAAAAAAAAAAAATTAGGAATCAGGACCTTCTTGGCTTTCTCTGCTAACTCTTTCCGCTTATCCTTATCAGAGCCCTGGAGAAAAAATAATAATAATAATAATAATAATAATTCAACAAAGCATTAGAATACTCAATGAGCCTCCCAATGGTAATGTGTATACTGAAACTCACAAGGAGTATCAATGGATTTTACCAATTTAATGAAGATGTCATCACTGCCTTTCTTGCTTGAAAGTGGTTGCATGGATTTAAACTCTTTGTCAACATCCACCTTCCTTTCCTCAGTTTTAAGAGCTTGCAGGGCCTTCCTCTTTTCTTCGAGCACCTTCTCATACTCTTCAAGTGTCATCTCCTACAATATTTTCAAGGAAAAGAAAATGGCATAAGCATATTAGGAGATACACAACAAACTCAAAGCCACCATGATGCATATTACACAAACGAATTCATTAAAACTTTCAAAGTCTCCAAGTATCTGTTCTTCAACACAATAACTAGCAATAATCTAATGGGAAATTTATTATCTATTAATAGTTCAATACTAAAAGAAGTTGTCCAGTCTAACGTTTCTAGGGAACAATTTAATGTTTTAAATTGCTGAGAAAAAAGATAAGTGTATGATTCTATAAAAGAAGATTTACCATTTTAAATTGTAACTAGCCTTACAAGTTATGGATATATTCTAAGCCCATTGACAATGTAGTTGAATGCCATAATTCGTTATTGTCAAGGTAGAAACTTAGTGTAGCATCTATTTATCGTTAAAAAAGAACATAGATGAGGAAGATTGGCATTTTAAGTTTTTAATTGATGGAGCTCTTATTCCATGCATGAAGCAGTTGATGCGTGCAATACTTGATTACTTCACAAGGAATTTCAAAGTAAGAGAAAAGAAATGCACTTGTTAAGACATCTCCAAATAGTAATGAATAAAGTCCTCCTATAAATCACACTGAACACAGTTCAATTATAAAAGAATGGTTTCTTTCCTAAAACAAATAATAACTGTTAACAACAATAAAGATGACCTACGGTATCTTACAAAATTTTTAGGAACTTGCAAAATCATTGTAAAGAAAGAAGGAAAGAAACACAAAGGAATCTCCTCAAGAAAGATAAGAAAGAACTATGATCAACTAAGCTAGCAATACAATACAAAGGAACATAACTTCAGGTAATTTGGTAAAGGTTGTAGACTTTGGAAATGAGACTGTCAGGCAATTCTATGGGTACACAACCGGGGGGGGGAGAGGGGGGGGGGGGGGGGGGGGGGGGGGGGGAGGAGATTTAAAACTATGATTCAATTTAACAAAACTTGAAATTATTGCTTGAGAAAACAATGGGCATGGAGGGACAAGTTATAAGCATACATGAGATGGTGATGGCATGAATACTCGTTAAAAGAACAGAACGCGCACAATTTTTATCTAAAGTCGAGGAAGTAGAGCTACAAAAAAATTGAAAGCTCATAGATTCAGCTAAGTCTCACCATTGATGACTAGAATTACTAATGTCCATTATGTCCCAAAGATGCAATGCATTCAACTCTAACTTCCAAAGTTCTCAACATTTGCTAATATACTTGCTTAAAAAACAAGTAGTTTGTTAACCAAAAATAAGAAAGTGGATAGCTGCTTTAGGAAAAAGGAATGCACGTGTGTCACTTTTCCTTTGACAAGTTGTGCGCAGTGGGGTGGGAGAGTCTCCCCCCTCCCTTCCTCTTATTCTTTTGGTTGTAGTGATGTGGGTTGGGGAAGGGGGGATTCGCTCTAATGCAATAAGATAGATAATAGATCACATACAAGCTTTACTTCAGGCCTATTAATTTTTTGTTCCCTTCCTAGATAGGAATTAGGATACAACTCTTGCACCGCAAATGAGGTAACAACTACTATCAATTTGCCCCACTATCAATGATTGGGAACAAAACCATAAGAAGGCAAGGTTTAGGATTAAGAATACACCCACATCACAATAGAAGACATTTACCTTATCTTCAGGCTTTTTTTCTTCAGGTTCATCAGCAGCTTTCTCCTTGATGCCATCTGTTGCATCTTCCTCCACCGACGGTTTCTCATACCTCAAAACTCTCTCACCTTCATTCGCATTCTCGGTGACCCTGAATGAAGCAATACAAATAGGAATATTAATTTATGCAGCTACAGACAAGTAATGCACATCTCAAATATAATATATGTATGAAGGTTCTGAAAATTATATGGCAAGTGGCCAAGGAAATACTCACTCAGCAACTCCATCATTCTGAGTTCCCCAGTTCCCTCGACCATATCCTTCCCGTTTGATCTCATTCCTGCACATAGGGTGAATTATCAAAACAATAGACACACACAAAAAATTTACATATATATATATGTAGATATGCAGAAGATAAATTAAAATGGACTAATAAAAATGCACATCCTTCCCGTTTGATCTCATTCCTGCACATAGGGTGAATTATCAAAACAATAGACACACACAAAAAATTTACATATATATATATATGTAGATATGCAGAAGATAAATTAAAATGGACTAATAAAAATGCACAAAGATTAAGAAATTAGAATGTAAGATCATCGTGAAGAAAAATAAGGGCAGAATATGTACCCATGCCCAGTGCCACTACGGCGTTCATGTATCCTACGAGGGCGTTCTTCATCCTCGACTTCTCCATTACTAAAACCACCATAGTGACCCGCTCCACGGAAAGGACGAGGTCCACCGTAACCCCCACGTCTTTCAGAAGGTTTCCCAGTATCTTCTTCAGAAACACTTCGACCACCAGAAAATCCACTAATGCTTAATGAATTCTCACTGTTGAATGATTCTTTACTAAATCCACCTCCACCACGACCACGGCCACCACCACGGCCTCCTCCACGCCCAATTTCATTCTTGACTGCCCTCACTACTCGAAGAAAACAAATAAGTAAACAAATACACTTCCACAAAATAAAAATAAGATTATACATTTTTTTGAGCGTCTTACATTGTCATTGTTACTATTGTTATCAGGGATATGTAACATCTGTAGGCGGGGAAAAACATTTTATCATATTGACAACACGAAACACTGTTTGGGAGAAAAAATAATAATTTTTTTACTTGGGAAAGATCATATCATATTGAACACATGGGAACCTTGTTTGCATATACCAAAAGTTCCTCCTTCGTGCATGGTAGAAAGTATTCTATCAGATTGAGATCAGTGATAAACTCCATATAACACTCCATATATGAACCCCAAATAACCCAAAGCTATAAAGTGATAAACTAAAATCCAAGATATTCCATTGAAATCTATCACTACAGAATCACACAGTTCATAACTTCATTAAATAAAAAACTAAAGAACTTGAGCACAATCAGACCCAAATCTACACATGACATCAACATAAAACCCACTTAAATACAAAATTGGAATCTAAAGATTTAAAATAAACGGATCGACAGCTCACCGGCCTGAGCTGGAGGGAGAGGCTTGGTCGGTAACTTAGCTGGCTTCTGTAGCAAAGCCTGTTGAACCTTGGCTTCGGTTGGAGCGATCTTCTGCTGCTGAGCAGCGACCAGCTGCGAGAGGTCATCGTTATCTGCATCGCCCAACAAATCAAAAGGGTTCGCGGTCGCCATTTCTGGTCTCACCAACCAGCAGTTTATCAGATTCAACACTTGGAAATGCGACCTAATCCCACTTCACATCCATCGTCACACAGATCAACACCCACAAAACCCCTGCGATTTTAGAGAGAGAAAGAAGAGAGGTGGATTTCATTAAACCCTAGCCGCAATGCGAGGGAGAGAGAGCGAGAGAGAGGGGCGTAATCGGAAATTTACTGCTTTATGGAGCCCTGGTTGTTTATAAAATTATTATTTGGTGTTGTTTATATAAGGAAGAAATGCTTTGGTTTTGCTGTATGAGAATAAAATGGTGGCCAATCGGAGCAGCAGGGTGGTTTTGTCATTATCTTGAAATGAATAGTGTTGATCAAGCGTGGCACTAATCAGGACCGTATATTCGCCACCATTTTCTTTTTAATATAGTTAGTCCACCCACACACACACACACACACACACCAGCAGTCTAGCACATCTACAAAAATATATTCGTCTCTCTATAAATAAATAAATAAAACGTATTCATAATTTTGTATTTGGAATATTTGATCACGTATATATGATGCTTTTTAAGATAACTATATTTTCTAGTCTTGCACTTCAGTTGTATTTTTTTTGTTTCTAATGTATGTATCTACGTACCAATTTTTTTTTTTTTTACTTATCAAAGACATAATTTATTCAAACACAGATAATTTAGAATATTTTTTTTATTTGGGTCTTGTCCGAAAAAATAATTTATTTAATAGAGATAACTTTATTCTTATTATTATTATTTTGGTTCTAGTTTTTTTATAATTTTTTTTAATTAGAAATTATCATAAGATATTGAACACATTAAAGATTGGAAGGAGAGGAGGAGACCAACCATATCTAGAACAGTTGCTATGTACCTTGAAAAAATTTAATTATTCCCTTGTTATGTTAGGGAGCTACAAGAGTCATTTCATTTTAAATATGAGTTAAAAAATGAAAATGTAAGTGCGAATAGGTTCCGTATAATATTATGACATAATTATCTAGAAAAAACATGTATTTCTTGTGAAAAGAAGTATTGAAATTTTTAGCATGCCAATTTTTTTTTTATTAAACATCATCAAAGGGCAATATAAATCTTTTTATTTTCTTTAAAAATGGTATCATAGTTACAACAATTATAGGTACTAATAGTTCATTAACTATTCAAGAGAAGAGAAGAGAAGAACCAATATCGACTGTTCCAACATGCTCAATGACTGCCACTTAATGCAGCCCATGCCATTCAACCAATTAAAAAAAAAAAAAAAACAATTCTTTTAGAATAGACTTCTTGAAACTTTTGCCAAAAAATTCTAAACAATGCATAATTAGCCAAAAACTGCTTCAGATAAACATTCTCAATGTCCTCAGCAGGAACAAATTCCCATTAAATTAGTCTCTCAGTAATTCCCATTAACATTCCATGTATTACCAGATAAAACATATTACAAAGAATTACATATACGACAGAAAATGCCACAAATTTAACTTTACGAGGCCAAAAATTGTATACAAGCCTGAGAAAACTCAAAGAGTTTCCCTGTTACAACATATTCTCAAAAGAAATATCACCTTATTGCTTTTTTACTTTTCCTCATTTATCATTATCTCTAGTAAAAGAATTCCCTAATTCCCTGCCTGTAAATGGTAGAAAAGGAAGAAAATAAACATTTAAAATCCGGGTAAAACTGACAGGTCTGCTATCCCTTTAGGAAGTTCGGCAATTTTCCTGAGTAGTGCAAGCCTGTTCCTTCTGACTTTTTCGTCCTCCTTCAAATGGTTCGCATAAAAAGAAATTTGAAAATTTACAATGATTTCATATAGAAAGAAGACAATTAGCTGACAAAACTATGACCACCAAACTTCAAATAATCATATTGCCCAAGTCAAGGATATATTTATAATGATTACAAAACTTCAAACTTCAAATTTACAATGATTTTTTTTTTTTTTACAAGATTATGCTTTGTCATGTTAAACAGCACAGTTCCATTGGACTTTGCCATGCATCTTTTTCGTTATCATATCAGCAATTCATCAATGGTAAGTTTGGATGAATCAAGGGATTTTAAAATGAAGGAATTTGGGTTAGTGAGTAACAGTAGAGAGGTGAGAGATTTTATTAAGATAACTAGAATTTCTTGTTGGCACAGATTTCAAATAATACCTTCCATTTTTTTTGATAAATAAATCGTGTAATTTAAAATCCACAAATAGGACTCTCAAGGAACTTTACAACACCCCTGAACTTTACAACACCCCTGGGGAAATGCACCAGGTGATGTAGCTAATAAAGTAGATCTGAAACATGTGTTCAAGCTTGTAATGAGAGGTGTTATCTTCCTGGCGAGGGTAATGAAACAATCTAGTAAATGGAGTCCTAAACTAGCTGCGGCTTGTGAGGTATGGAAGGAGATCAAAATTGAATTCAAAACAATTGACACTTGTCTCAAATCAATAATCTACGCATTTGTTGTAACCTAGATCTAAGCAAAAAAGTTGAATCAATTCAATTTCAATCCCTCAATTCAAATTGAACCTTAATCTTTCTAAATTATTTAGTCAAAAGAGCTATTTTCCTTTCATCAAGGGTCCTCATTAACCCTTTTATCCCGCAAAACTTCCCTTCATTTTGGGAGCTTGTCACTTATTTCACAGGATTCATGTCTGTAAAACCAGCTTCTCCTGAACATACAAATATAAAAACTGGAAAGTCTTGCACCATCTCATTCAACAAGGTTAATAACTTCTATATCAAGAATTAAAATGGTTATGTGCTTCCACATGGCAAATACTCGTAGACGGTACCCTTGACATCAATTCAGACTTCCCTTTTTATCAAATCAACTAAACAAGTTGTTTGCCGATAGTACTAGAGAAAAGCTGTGTGTGTTCCAGAAACAAGGGATTATGGGGTGCTAAAGCTGTGTGTGTTCCAGAAACAAGGGATTATGGGGCGCTCTGAGAGGCCTCACACCACCATTGTCGGGGAAACAAAAAAACAAAAAAATAACATATATGTTGTATGAAAAGTCATGTTTGTAAACTCAAAATCAAGATATCCAAAACAATAAGTGAGCAAGACTATATAAAAATAAATCCTATTTAAAGCAGTTCCATGCAAATGCATTTATTATTGTCCAGACAAAATATTACACGTTTGTGCTAAATCTAAACATTTAATAAGTTCAATCCCAATATAATCATGTGGCACATGATAATCGTATTTCCAACTTTGCATGCCAATTGGTAAAAGGCTGAACGCATGTCAATGTCCTCACTTATACATACGAAGGAGGATTGATGTGGCGCTTGTGTTGTGCACTAGCAAACAAGCCTACCCTAGAATGGGTACTTTAGTAATTGTTATTTATAAAATAATATAAATTTGAGCAGTTGTAGAGATGAGAAGCAAGTCTTATGCTAAAACCCTCTCCCACTCCCTCCTCTTCTTAAGCCTAATCTCAACCAATGTCAAATTGCAACTTGGTATCAGAGCATCCAATCGAAGTTCTGCTTTCACCACAACATTCAGAAGCATCTCTATCAGGAAGCATCAGGTGTGCTGACATCATCATTTTCGTGAAGACATCAGCATCTGTATGGGTCAGATCAAGATGAAAACTACATGGACCAATTATTCTCATGATTCTAAGATTTATGTATTTTTCACGGAATTTGTTGAAGCCGTGATAGGAGTGTCCCATTTTTGAATGTTTCTTCAAGAAATGACTGTTTCGCAGATTTGTTTTTCTGGAAGTTTTGGGTTCTTTTCTTTTGATCAAATGCTTACTATGTGGTATCGAACATATAATTGTAGATTTATGAGAGAGAATTCTACTTCGAAATTATTATTTAACCCTTAAATCCAAAAAATAGTTGAACCTAAAAGCATATCTGGATTAAAGGTTAACTATGCATATGAAATGAGGCTCAGCTTTCTTGCATGGTTGTAAAGAGGTGAAAGAGCTTACCACCATTACAAACACATGACTGAAAAAATCTTCAAGTGGTTGTAATAGTTGTGAAGATGTTTCAACAAAATCATCTACCTCAACACCTGTGGGGGCATAGAGTTTAATAACAGATGAGTACACAGGTATCCCAGAGCTAATATCAAAACAAATGTGTTACAGCAGTCAACAATAGTTCATGAGATTGGAAAGCAACATGCCCAACAAGTGTAAAAACTCCACAAGACAAACTAGTAATGTAACAGATAGAGTTTGAAGTACCTGGATGAATTTTGGTTCTTATTGACAAGAAGGTGCTCCATAGAGCTCTCTCTTCACTTGTCTCAAATGCTGCCTCATCCACCTACGTGATTAAAAATAAAATAATTAAATAAAATAAAGAAGGGGAAAAAAAACACGAAAAAAAATGAAGATTATTGCAATAAAACAGATCCATAAGCATAAAATTAGAAATCGCAAAAGCCCCTACTATGTACAAGATAAATGTAAATTTAAGGAGATCATTGTCAGTAATTAAATAATTACGCATTTTTTTGACACAGAAGTGATTATTAAAATAAATTGATTCACACAATATAAACCAATGGAAGAGCAGAATTCACTAGCAACAAAGTGCATTATTACATATCTAAATAACATCATAATTACAGAGAGACTATATTAGATTTCATACAAATTTATTTACTAGATCTTTATTGATATAATAAATAAGAATTCACCGTATATTTACAATGTGTTTTAAATGCGTGAGGGGGAATCCAAAGTAAAACAATATTATTGACTATAGTGGGTCCGGACAGACCACAATCTGCAAAACTTAATGTGCTCTTATTTCAAATTCTATACAACTTCCTGCAATCAATGATCACATATAAGAATAATCAAAATATTAGGGAGAGAAAAAGGGTGGCGCCTATTAGCGAGAGAGTAGACTTAGGTGGTATGGACATATTCAACGCCGACCTATAGATGCACCCATGAGGAGAGGAAGAGTGATTTGCATAGAGGCAAGAGAAACAGAGAGAAAGAGAGAGAGAGAGAGAGAGAGAGAGAATGAAAAGAAAAAAAAGTGAGGAAGAAGCATTCCACTGTACCTGGTTTTTATCCTTCTTCTTTCCTTTCTTCTCCTACTCAGGTTTGGGATATTAGGGATTTTATTCCTGTACTCTATTTTCGCTTGAATCCACTTAATTTTCTGCAGTGAAGAAATCTTGGCCATCCATCACTACTACTATTAGGATTTCTTTCTGGTCAAATAACTTGTAAATGCCAAATTCCAACATATTCTTAGCTACTATCTGCTCTGAAGAAATTGCAGTTTTTCCATCAAAATTCTGCTTCTTGGCCCTTTATTGCAGTAATACACCATTGGATTTTCAAATGTTTTTTACCCTCTATATAACAAATGTCACCCATTTGTAGACTGAAAGGCACTAGATGGCAATTCTTATACAACACCAATCCCTTTACATTAATAATTAAATGTGTGTCTAATTTACAGAAGCAATCACTCTCTCTTTGCCTTCTGTTTGCTCTTTGTTTCCATAATTCTGTTCACTCTACTACTCCTTTGAACACTTCCTCTGTTCAATCTCTGATCCTTGACCAAAGCAACAAGTGAAAACGAGTTATACTCTACCGGTTAAAGTTGGCTACTAAGTAGGTAAACCTTTATGAAATAACCTTTCCCTTCAATATGATAACTTGGCTCAAATTCTCTGTGAGAGAGCATTAACAAATAATTGTTTATTGTCCTATATAATGACTTTCACCAAAGAAGAATCGGCAAGATATCATTAGCATCATCCTTGCTTGATTCCATATGAAGGGATCAACCACATGAATTCTACTTTTCCATTACAAGTCATCTCTCCTCTACAAATATATATATATGTAACTTATTTCTAATAATTTCATCCCATGTTAATTTTGGTAGCCCAAGAATACACATTAAATTAGAAAATTTCCAAAAACACCACAGTGATATATTCATGGAAAACATAAACGTACCTCCATATCAGCATTTACATCCTTTCCACGAACAATTCTTGTTGGACGAGAATAAGCTTCAACAACCTTTGGCAGAAGTTCACCTCTGAACAAAGCTTCCATCTGCATAAAATTACTCATACCAATATAATAAATAACAATATATAATGAAATGACTGATTAAACGAACAAATAAAATACTTTGTTTACCATTCTAGCAGTATATGGTTTTGTAGAAGAACAACTTCAAGCACACGGGATTATTTTGCTTACTAAAATTCTGTTAAGAACAACATGAGACTGCTATATTAAAGAATTTTTAAATGCCCATCTTCGGGCCTTGTAATGTACACACTTAAAGATAGGTATCATCTTCGAATCGCCCTTCAAAACATTTACACAATGGACTCATAAAAAACCACACTACTTTTTTAGCCATTCTTTCCTACACCATTTTGGAATGCAATTTATGAGTTCGGGAATTTATAAATTAGTGCATATAGGATAAGAGAAAAGAACTCATTAAAACAATAATACCACCAAAAACTGAAAATTTACAGCATTGATGTACAAATGATTAAACAAAGACGTAAAACTCTACGTTCCCCTATATTCACACCAAAAATAAATCATTTCTAGAACCAAATCAATTCCATTCATCCATGACCTTCTAAACTTGTCAGTTAATTCATGAACCAGACCTGAAAGTGCACTTATATTTAGGGCGGTAAATGAACCAAACGTTCGACAAACAGGTCGAGCTCGACTTGATAATAGCTCTGTTCATGATCGTTTATTTAGTAAATGAACCAAGCTCAAACAAATTTTCTAAGCTCGTTTCGTAAACGAACCAATCTCAAACAACTGTGAGCTCAGCTCGTTTGTTCGGGAACGTGTTCATGAACAAGCTTGTTAATAGGCTCGTTTGGGCTCATAAGATCTATAATAATTTTATGAGATAGAAGATTTAACCCACATCTACTAGGTCCATTAACTTCTAATTTTTTCTGTTTTATATTTTAAACTTAGCCCAACCCATTTATATTAGAAACTTTCATTCTTCTTCGAAATCAAAACCCAAGCCCATATATTACATACCATGTGTAACCCTACTTTCATATCATTCTTTGAGACACAATCAAAGCCCTAGCCGCTAGAGAGCACAACACACCCAACAGCACCTCGATTGTTGTCGACAACACACCCACAGTCCATGGCGACTACAACTACTTGATCATCAGGAAGTCTCTCTCCCTGTATTGTATTATCTGATCTTACCTCTTGTTCATTTCTCTCATAAATGAATGTGTGTGTGTGTGTGTGTGCGTGTGTGTGTATATATATATATATGCCTATGATTGTAGTCTCCGTACTATCGTCTCACTCATTTCTCCGACTATAGATCGCGAACAATGGAACTGCTTGGATGTTGACATATTTCTTCTGAAGTGATTATGTGTGCGCGTGTGTGTGTGGATATACTGTCTAAATGAGCTTCAATCAAGCCATGCTTGAGCTCTTCAAACAAGACCTAGGCTCATTCAAACGCGAGCCGAGCTTGAACACTTCTATGTGATGACAAGCCTAGCCCGAGCACTCCAAAGTTCGGCTCGATTACAGCCCTATTTATATTCTTGGATGACTCAAAAAATGAAAAGTTAACACTTGGCCGTCTCAGGCTCTCAGCTTGCACAAGAAGGAAAAAAAAAATGGTTTTAACAGTTATCTATGTTACACCAAAGTAGTCCCGTATTGAAGTCCACTTATCTTATTTATTTTAAACAGGTACTAGATTTTTTTCATTATTGCTGATGCCAGAAAAAATCATTTCCTCTAGTAGGATTCTTTAAATGACAATTTGGCATTACTTTAAAAGAATTTTTGGTTTACCAAAACTGAACCTGGTAAAATAATAAATTTCTGGACTCAACAATAGATTATTAATTGAGGAATTAATGGGGAGTAAGAACGCAACGTAACTCGTAGCTATAGATTATTAATTGAGGAATTAATGGACAATTTGAGTAGGCATCAGCAGTGAAAGACAATTTTAATATAGTGGTTGAAGATTTGGTGGAAATTTTGAGTAGACATCAGCAATATGAATAGTTTACAAATATTAGCAATTAAAAGTCACTTACTTTATATGCTGACTTTGCCGCCAGACAAGGCCAGTTAGCACGTTCTGTGAGAATGGAACGAACAACTTCTGGACTTATTCCCTTATCAACCTGTTACCATAAAATAGCCAACCAACTCAAATGAAAATCACCTCTTCTTCCTGAATAAAAATTTATAAGACCCGCCCTTATACAGGAAAAAACTTGGGTTTCAATTAAACGGCAATAAGTAACAGATAATCATTAAATAATGCATTTGTTACACAATTGTTTAATGATCCACGGATAGTCAACTCAGCTTCAAAGTACATAAACTCATCTTTGTAAACAGGATACTCAAATTTAAATACCCACAATAAATTTAGCAGTTGTTTGAATTGTATTTCCTTCTAAACTGATCGAGGCAAGAAGGGAATAGAAAAATCAAAGAATTCATGAATAGCTCGATATTGCCATGGGCTTCAGGATTTCTACGCCCAAAAGTTTACGAGACGTCCATTCTAATGAAATGCCAGGTACTTCTCTAGGGATAAAATAACGACATCAAAGTCACTAAACCAAGACAAGCCTGATAACAGGCTGGCTTCATGTCAATTCCTAGAGGTGAAGATATGGGTGCACCATTTTTATTTAAATATACGACTTTGATTCTGTCACTTCTGTGAAATTGAGAAGTTCATTATTAACATATGTTTTCTATTCCCCTTTTTTTTTTTTTTTTTTTTTTTTGCGACTGCAAGTGCTTTTGTTATATTTCATTGAACATTGGAAATTCCTGTTTGTAATTACTCAACTTCAAGCTAGAACATCATTATCCAACCTTTGGCAGCTGTACAAAAATATTAATGTAGGTAGGTTCTTAAGGCACCCAGACAAACATTTCCATCTCTATTGAATTGGTGGACGTAATATTATATCCCCTTCCTTATGAATCCAGTAAATTTTTTAAAAACTGTCTGTAAGAAACGAAAAAGAAAAAACAGAGACATACCAGAAACTGCTCCAATCTCCGTGTTACAAATTGATGTGCCTACAAGAAGTGAAGCAATGAATATAACCTGAAATCTTACTGGTGGAGAACGAAATGAAGTGTGAGATGGAACAATGAAGTAAAGCAAAGCATGACACAAATGCAAAAGATCAATATAAGTAAACAGGAAGCCAAATCAGGGTTGCACTAAATCCAGCCTAATGGTCAAATAACCTTATCCAACACTCAACAAGGAGCAAACCCAGTCTATAGTAAGATTCTCACCCATCTCTTACTCAAAAAAATATCATATTACTCTTCCAGAAGCCAGCACTCACTACACAGTGATACCAAGATAATATTAATACCCCTTCAGAGGGCGGCAAAGTTTTGGCCTGCGTATGTAGAATGTCCAAGCATACCATGGTGTTGGACTTGATAGTGACAACCACAGAAAATGTAATGTTACTCTCTAATGGCTCAGCTCAACTCAGTAAAGCCTAAAATTTAAATTGTCCAAGTATGACTACGAGATTTCTGATGAAGACAAATCTAATATTCTTACATTATCTATTGTTCTGGAATCTACTTTTATGGTTTGGACAGCAGCAGCAAGTCGCAAAGCATGTCTTAAGTCCAAACTTCTATTGTTTTCCACCAACACTTGGACCTATACAACCAAAGGCAGCATTAGTCTGGTTTACAAAGATGAGTAAGTAAATGTTCTTGTGATTTTTTAACTTACAAGACCATAAGAGATTCTCCGAAGCCCGAATGGGTCACTAGTGGAGCTTGGCTGACAACCAGCTCCAAATAAGCCAACAAGACTATCTAGCCTGCAAATTACATAACACAACATGAAACCATAAAACAGGGCACGCTGACTAAAATAAATAAAGTTGCCGTAAAAAATAAAAGGAGTGATAAACAAAAGGTAGATAAATTAAGAAAGTTATATTTTTATGTTTTACTTGATAACAGACACTCTTTTAATAGAAAGGTAAACAGCCAAGAACTACAATCTAAACTCCTCCATGGAAACAAAATTCACTCACTCTGAATCTTTTTAAAAATCATAATTATTTGAACTCAAATTATTGCAGAGTAAACCAGGAATCTAGTTTTAAAATCATTATTATACACATATAGTCATGTTAATGACCTTTGTTCACAAACTAATGAGTGGCTCAAGGTTGTTTGAGCTTGGCTCGTTTACAAAACAAGGTTGGCAAAACTGTTTGAGCTTGGTTCATTTACTAGGTAGAGGAACAGAAGCCAAGCTATCATCGAGCCGAGCCTGAGCTATTCGCCGAACACATGGGTCATTTACAGCCCTTAACCATGCAAGAACGTCACACTGCCTATTTCCTATTTATATTTGTGTCTTTAAGTGGCAAATCCCTACCTTCTTCTTGTTTTAAACAATCTAATATTGTAATGATTAAGTTCATTATAATCTTATTTTTACGGAAGGTTTTAATAAGGGAAGGAAAAAATCTTCTGACTGAATTTGGCATCCGAAACCAAAGTGTTCCTATGGCACAAGCATTTTGTAACATTGCCTCAAATTTTAGCTATTTAAAACTCTTGTTTTGCACATCATTGTGAGAGTAACATAATAATATGACACAAAACTTTGGACAAGTTAAACATGCATCTCCATAAGAGTGTTTTATGGCAATATTGACACTGAAAATTGTAAAAATAAGTTTTTGACATCAACTTTACCTGTCAGCGATTGCCAACACGGTCCCCACATCAGTTTTTGGAAGTGTATCACCAGAAAATCTTGGCAGTGTGATCTCGAACAGTGCCTCCGAAATCTGAAAAATTTAAAACACAATAACAAAGATATGAGCAATGGTTAATTCTAATACAGACTATATTGCAGTTGGGTAATGAGCAGCCAGCCGATAAAGGATTCATTTCTTTTTCCAGAGAACATAAAAGAATGTATAAATTAGTGTTACCATAAGTAACCTATACTGTGATGATCAAGAAACCAGATCACTAAATCTTAAACAAGGTACGATTTCGATCCAGAACAATTGGAAAACTCAAGAGGTTATTTATTACTCTTCCTTTAAATCACTACTAAGAAAAAACTGTAATATTAAAACTTTAACAACTAAAAAAATGCAACGGTTCAGGACATAATAGAAAATAGAAGTTACGTGGCTTAGCTTGTTTAACTCATGTCAAGCTTGCTTTCCAAAGTGAATGGAAACCTTTGTACTTCATAAACAATTCTTTATGTATTGTCTTCTCTTAAAAGAAACAAAGATTGTTATTGCCTTCACAACTACATTGTCATGAATCAACTTTGTTAAATATATTTAGCCGACTAAATAGGCCCGACTCCCAAACACTGAAACGCATCCATTACATGCATTTCGTGTGAAAAGTCTATCTATTCAGTCGGCATGCAAATCATTGCTCTTCAACTAAGTTTTACCTAAGCATAGGGTATGAATTATATAAAGTTATCCCCATTGTACAGTGTTCCAGTGTAAGTGACTTTATCGCAACGGGCCGGGCGCTTGCCATCCAACCAAATAATTTAAGCTGTTAGGTGGCGATGCATAGCCACCCTTATAAGCCCAAGACCCTCCCCAACCCAATCCGATGTGGGATAAGATCCCTAATCCAAGTCTGTCAATTTAGCCAGCAGGCAAATTATGCTCTTCAACTTTTAAGTTTTACCTAACCATCAGTATGAGTTATATAAAGCTATCCCCATTGTACAACGTTCAAGCGTTATTGACTTTACTGTAATGGACCAAGCGCTTGCCATCCAACCGAAAAACTTAAGTTGTTAGGTGGTGATGCGTACCCGCCCTCATAAGCCCAAGACCCTCCCCAACTCAATCTGATGTAAGACAAGATCCCTATAACATTCTCCCCCACTTGGACCAGCGATGCCCTCATTGCAGTCGGGGCACCCTGCCCACCTGTCCACCCTGCCAGCGAGGGAGACCCAGTAACGACCCAGACACAACCCACACCTTGTGTGGGCGCTTGGTGTGACACCCAATAAGGGATTGGGTTTGCTCTGATAACACTTGTAAGGCCAAGAGCTTGTCGGCTGTTAGGTGGTGTTGCATACCCACCCTTATAAGTCCAAGACCCTCCCCAACCCAATCCGATGTGGGACAAGACCCTGTGACACCATGGTCCATTCCATCCACAGGTTATTGCAGTCCACATTATAGGTAAAGTTGCCTTAAATTCTGAAAATGGCATTTAGACAGAAGAGCAAGAAAGTATTTCAAAAGCTAAAGCCAGGAAGTACTTCCAAATGCTAACCAAATAATTATTAAAGTATTCAATCTACTTCTTGTAATTTTGTTCTTAATTAGAAACAACAACAACCAAGCTTTTTTCCCAACTACTTGAGGGTTGGCAACATGAATCTTACATTTCCATTCCGCTTTATTTAAGGTCATATCCTAGGTCATATCCACATTCTATAATATCCTTCCAAACTAATTCTACCCACGCTAAGTTTGGTATTCCTCTTCCCCTATTATTAACCTCAACGTGGACTATGTCACTTTTCCTAACTGAACAAGAAAATGAATAATAAAATAAGTCATTGATTAACAAGGATCAATTAGCAATACCAAAGTGTGCGACTGTTATTTTTACTGCAGCTTTACCCAAAAGACAAAAAGGATCCAATATAGATCAACATATGAGCAAAGACATTTTTTTTTTTTTTAAATATATATATATATATATGTTACAGCAAGTATAACAACCTGTTCAGAATAACCGTCTCTAAGGGCATAGTGACGCGCCATTATTCCCGATAGCGAAGTGAATTCCGTAACAACAGCAGTAGCAAGATCTGACATAGCCAACGATGCAGCATCTTGGACAATATGCAGCTTTTCTTCACTAATTCCTAGAGCCAAGCTCAGATCATTTACTATATTTTGGACACGTATCATCTTATCCAGCATCGTTCCTAGCTTCTCCTGTATTATTTCCCACAAACAGGATATTGAAGTTATAAGGGATCAAATGATAAATATATATATATATATATATATATATATATATATATATATATATTTTTCCTAGTTGGATCAAATGATATTTATTAACCAGGAATCACAAATGATACCAATATCAAACAGTCAGTTAATACATTAGTACAAAATAAATGAGCATTTTGCAATTATTAATTCTATCACTTGTGCATAACAAATTGTAAGTTTTGAGCGATGTAGCAACTATACTATCTACCTTTTCCCTCGAAAACCAAATGAACCATCAGAAAAGAAAACTTCTAATCAACCAATGATAGCACTCTCCAAAGGGTGAATACAAAACCTGAGACCACATATAGAATGAGATAACTTACATGGAAAAGAATCCCTTTCAGTTCACTTCGGAATTCAGAGAACTTTTTCCGTGTGTCCATCTCATAGAAAAACTTCGCATCTTCATAGCGAGCTCTGCAAAGATAATCAATTTTTCAGACCAGTCTGGAACTTCAATAAGAAATTTTACAAATGGCACAATAGAGGAACGCTAAAAACCAAATATTGACTCACACAAATAAACACAAACAAGATATGGGAGTAAATTGTCTGTTTAGTGGAAGTTCTCGGTAAAGATATTCGATTTTAGACCAGTCTGGAACTTCAATAAGAAATTTTACAAATAGCACAATAGAGGAACGCTGAAACCCAATTATTGACTCACACAAATAAACACAAACAAGATATGTGAGTAAATTGTCTGTTTAGTGCAAGTTCTTGGTAAGGTAGTGCAAGTTTTAACTTCGAATCCAAGTATTATTTAAGATCACTTCTAAGCAGATTTAGAGATCTTTTGATTTAAAAAGAAAGATATTTTTATATAACAGTTGAACATCAAATTGTCTGTGTTATTATGCATAACATGTGAATGAGGTCTACATCAACCTGAGGACAGCTTCATTTCCTTTCCTTACTGTCATCTCATCAATTGCTCCATTTGCAACCTAAATAGAAACCAAAGTCACCAGATTAGTGAACATTACAAGCCATCCACTTTAAGATCAACAGTTAATTAGAAAGCACATATGATTGGTAACCATGTCATACAGCAATGAAGTATGGCAAGAGTCTTCCATCCTCATCTGTGATGGCAAAATACTTCTGGTGCTTCTGCATAACCTGTTTGATCGGTGGATTTTAGTTATCAGATAACGGCATGATTGTCTTAAGAGGCAACCCCACTTAAAATGTGTTACCATTCTCAAACTGGCAAAATAAAATTGCATATCTTTAAGAGTTATCATGGGAGAAAGGTACATTAGTAAAGCCAACATAAACCAGTATTCACCAGAATTTAAGGAACAGTATAACAGATGAAAAAAAATTCACTAATAATTAGAGCGTGAACCGTGGAGAGAGAGATTGAGATTAAAAACTTTTAAAAATATATAAATAGTTTTTTACTTTTGATGGGTTACATGTGAGAAACATATTAGAACCAGAACCCAAAGCTCTGAAATAAAGTCGCGCAAGGTCCACAAATCTAGACCTATAGAAGTGTTGAATAAGTCTTGTAGAACAATTTAAAATTTATTTGTTAAGTATTCAGGTTGAGGCTTGTGATTAACTAAATAAACTAACTTGTTTCAATCAACTAATACGCAAGTGATTGTGTCAGACTGAAACAAACATGCAAACCATAAAATAAATAAAACAGTAAAGCAATAAATAAAGAACACTGGAATTTACGTGGAAAAACCCTCAATCGAGAGTTAAAAAACCATGGGACCTAGGTCTAGGCAACTAATCCACTATTAAGAAAGAGATATACAACCCAAGTTACAATTCAGTACCCTCAAATCTCTAGTTAATTCCTAGACACATTAAAACACCAAACAGCATTCACTGCTTACGAACCTGCTTCTCTAGTGATTAACATCAGCCACAAACTGAAATACTTATTTCAAACATTTCCACCAATTGTCTCACTGAAGCATCATTTCCAAGACACAAAACACTTCAAAATTAGGGCAGTAAGAGATTCTTATCGGGTTGGATAAGTTAGAACTGCAAGCAATCCTGACTTGACAAAGAAAGCAACAATAGGATGTTGAATTGATAAGAACAGAAAAGATTATGGTACAAGGTGCATGAGCTATTTACTCTAGTTATATTTACTTGAAAAAGGGATTAGAACTTAACTCTAGTTGTAGCTACTGGAGAAAGGGATTAGCACTTAAGATCCCGTAAACCTCTACTGCAATTATAAGGTTGTCATTTGTTATGCAGATAAATCTTTATGGCAATAAATAACAAAGCATACCAAGGGAAAACAATACTTCATAGGGGGAAAATAGAAAAGAGATTGAAAATAAATATCTTACCATTGTCAACAGATCTTTTGGTAGCTCTAAGAAGGACTCTTTAAACTTCCCAAGCACTGGAACAGGAGCCTCAACAAGATTTGCGACCTAAATATCATGAGGGAAGATATTTATAAATCATACCAAGTGATGACAAAATCCACAGAAAACAATAACTTGTTGATTACCTCATCAAGCAAGCCACTCTGCATAACAATACATCCATTAACCTCTCCTGCTAAAGCATTTGAACACACTAAAATTTTTCTCTTGCGTTCCTATAAAGAAAAGAATTTTTCAAATACCATATTTTCAATCTCGTTAGCCCAGAAAAAGTACATGAGGAGAGGAAACCAGCGAAGATTATTTGTTGCTTATGATACCTCAATTTCAACTGAAATTCCAGCATTTTGTATTAAATTGGCATAAGATTCTGCACTTTCGACCTGAAGGGAAAAAGAACTTGTGATAGATATGCATACATATACATGTTGTTTCCAACATCAAAGTTTAACCCAATAATGTACGATTACAATATAGAATAATGACAGCGAAGGAAGTTATGAGAATTCGAATTAGAGACAGTGAAAAGGCCCCTAAGCAGCAACATTGAACATTAATATGAGAAAATAGTACCTACACATTAGGAAAAGTGAACTTTTACAACTGAATGAGGAACACTTCTCTCCATATTGTTGCTACTTATACTAAGAGAAGAAAATGATAATGGAAGTTAATATAGATATTTTAATTTAACTTCATTAGCATACCTTGACAGTAGGTGAGGAAGTATTCCGAAGACCATAAGAGAGGTTTCCACTGCAATATAAAATTAGAAAATGCCAAATGTAACGTATAAATTTTTATATAAAAGAGACTCAAAAGAAACCAGAAGATGGAAATGCATTTCTAGAAATACCTTGTAATTTGAGGATTATATTACATTAAGCATACGTAAAAAAATAGATAGACAAAATAAGAAAAATTCCAGCCTGACTTGCAACTTACAAATCAATTTAACATTTCCAGCACTCAGCTAAAGGCTGTAATGAAAGGTCCTAGTAAGTCAAAGTTTGGTAACAATATCTTTTAGATATTTGCAAACGTGCATCCTTCCGAACATTTAATGATAACATGTTTTTACTTGTCAAAGCAACTTCATGCAGCGCCAGAAATAATTTAATACTTGAATTATTCCCGGGCTTCATAGAGACGCAACTGACATGGGAAGTCCATTAGTTCAGAAAAAAGGTATCATCAATGCATGCCAATATTTTTTTTTCAACTCAAGAACTCCAATATAACTTCCAAATAAGTACAAAACCACACCCCCCCACTTCCTTAAGTTCCTCAGAGTCAGCCAAACAGTAATTCGAACCTTTAATCTCTTAAATAATAATGAAATATTAATGATAATACTAATAATAACAGTGATAACAACAACGACAATTACTAGTAGCAGCAGCAGCAGTAGAAGTTTTAGAAGTTGGAGGAGGAGCAGCAGTAGTGGCAGGAAGTAGAAATAATAATAGTGAAACAGCAACACAGCTCCTAAAAGTAGCAGTAGCGATGGTAATAGTAGTACTAGGAACAGAAGCGATATAATCGTAGCAGTAGAAGCAGCAGTAATGACTATGAAACAACAAAATGCATCCTAAAATTGACAATTTAATAGCATCATCATCCTTGCCTATATCCCATATGGATGGGGTCAACCACATGAATTGTCCTCTCTTTTTTTTTTTTTGGTAAATCACATGAATTATCTTTTTCCATTCCTTCCTATTGTATACCGTGCCTTCTCTTAGATTTAGTTTTTTAAAAGCATTTAATTACTTCCTCCCCATGTAAGTTTTGGTCGGCTTCTGTTGCTTACCTTCTAGGCAAACAGTTCTTCCTCTTCTAACGCATCATCAGGGTCTATGATGAATGTGATCGTACCACCTAAGTCTACTTTCTCAAATTTTATCGTTTAGGCGCTATATCTAATGTTCCCTCACATGTTCATCATTAATCTTATCTTGTCTAGTCATTCCTATCATCCAACGTAGCACCCTCACATGTTCATTATTAAAATTGACAATTTTATATAGTAGACACAAAAAGACTTAAAAAATGGAAAAAAGAAAAATATTTTAAGTACAAGTGCCCTTCTTCTTATTGATATATGTAAAGGTCTTGTCTAGTTATTCCTATCAACCAACATGGCATCCTCACATGTTCATTATTAAAATTGACAATTTAATATAGTAGACACAAAAAGACTTAAAAAATGGAAAAAAGAAAAACATTTTAGGTACAAGTGCCCTTCTTCTTATTGATACATGTAAAGACAGAAATCTTTTCCAAGTCCATGATAACCTCCACTAGTGGACCACTTCTATCCACCTCACAATATCTATGCAAGTGATTAATAAAATAGCTTATAAAAAAATAAAATAAAATAAAATAAATTAGAAAATAGAAAGAGAAAAAAAATTGAGCAGAAATGTATTATAATTACCTCAAAACACCGGCAAATATAAATGGAACAACCACTTCACCATGGAGGCCCAAAATCCAACGAATAGGTCTACTAAACATAACCTGCATAATGCTAGCAAGTTAATAAAACACATTCAGTTTAATAAGTAAAAGTGGATAATCCAATGGATGATAGACTTCTTCTGAACACATAGTAAAAATAAAATATGTGGAAGTATGACTTAAAACAGAAAATTGCCACCCACTGATATAGTTTAATTTTGTTTTACATATATGATTGACAACCATTATAACATTAACAATTTCTCAAGTCCTCGTTACTATGATAGCAGGAAAATTTGGAAAGCTATTTACATGGCTTTATTTGCTGGATTTATACTCTCATTCCGAAAAATGGCACCAGATACATCAGATTAAAGCAGTTTAATTTTCAATTGTTTATTCCAGCAGAAGGATCAAAAGCATAAAAAGGAAGTATCTCACAACAAGTTTTATTCAAATCATATAGATACATCAGATTAAAGCAGTTTAATTTTCAATTGTTTATTCCAGCAGAAGGATCAAAAGCATCAAAAGGAAGGATCTCATAACAAGTTTTAATCAAATTGTATCCAGTTTTTACCATCCCTATTCCCAGCCCTCCATATACAGATGAAAGAATTTATAAGAATGCATATTGCTAGTAACAAACAAGATATGGAACCATTCAGCAAGTAATCTTAGTTTAGTGGAAGGACACCACATCTCCAAAATAAGCATGAACTTCGACTTCTATCCATTGAAACATATAAAATGAAAAGACTGGTCAATAGATTCAATACAATACCAATGGGCTAGTAGCCTAGCGGTATCAGGCCCTTCCCAAAGAGAGGTCAGTTGTTCAAGCCTCAGTGGAGGCATGTGTGTGTGAGTACCAACCAAGAAAAAAAAAATAGATTCAATACAAGACATTCTCTGTAAACACTTCTATTCAAAAAACATAGGAACTGCCAACCCATTGAATAAAAAAGTAAGCATCCAAAATTGAAGCTCATTGGTAAAATATCACTCACCTGCGAGTTCCAGCGCATTGACTTCGGGAATGTTAGCTTAGCGATAGTACTAGGCAAATCTTCAGATAAAACCTAGCAAAAGCAAAAACAAAATATTTCTAGAAATAAAATTAAGCAGATCCTTCAATGTAGACATCCTCAGACTCATTAGGATGCATATCCCACATATGACAAAGCAGGCTTCAATAAATCCACAAATTAAGCAATTTATTTAACCACCAATTCAGATAGTGCTTATAATTTCACGGCTGAAGGCATATATCAAAAAAGGGCAAATCCATAATAGAGTTCCACCTATCAGTAAGAAAACAGACAAAATGTAGGGTACAAGTCGTGTTGTCCTAATAATGTTCAGCATTTATTGGACAACCATATGGATATGCCTCATCCCTGAGGATTTGTTCACAGGCAAATTTCACAATACAGGCGGTAAAACTGGGAAGGCCATCCAGTTGACAGCCCTAACTGACTTAAGAATCTTAATAATGGGCCAAATATGGAATGCCCATATGCTGACTGGGCCCAAAAGGAGTAGGTAACAGTAACAGTAACAGCCGTGGGTAACAATATTGGGAGTATCAATCAAGGTGCAATTGGAATTTTTTGTTACTTATTACAGCCGTATATTGTTTTTTTTTTTTTGTTAGATGGAAGATATTTGCTTGCTTTATTGGAATTTTTGGTTTTAAGAAAACTAAGAAGATAGTAGCATAATTTGTGAAGATCATCACAACAACCAAAAAAACCTAGTATAATTAATAACTAAATCAGGAAGTAGTGAGTTAAGTTTAAGAGATTACAGCAAAATAATGGCAAAACATTAGTTGATCCAATCTTCCCCTCACAACATCCCACATAGGTGGGAATGTGGAATATATACTGGGTAATGTACTTTTTAAATAAAAATATTTATAAAAAATAAAAAATAAAAAACCTAAAAATGCATCTCTACGTCATAAACCAGCTAAACAACATCATAACCCATTGATTCATGACTTTACGACCAAATAGAATGATGCGCAGGTTCTTAATGATCCTAACCCTCTTTTAAACCAAAGATCTAAGTGTGCGTTCATAAATATTCATGCTATATTATATTAAGAAACTAAAGATACATCAGATGGATCTGATGGGCCCAAGAGCCTAGATCTGAAAATTACTTGGATCCTATTGTTCTAACCTCCAAACCAGTACATTCAACCTCCAGCATGAGTTTGGGTGTCTTAGAAGAGAGTAGAATATGATTTTAAAAAAAAAAAAGTGCAAAGATGAGACATGGTTTCACCAAAGCTTGGATTCTATAGTGTAATGGCTGATAAAGTTGTGCAACAGTGGGTGCTCTGTGAATTTTCTCTGCACATATTTATCAATAAGGGACTGAATGAGAAACCCTTCAAGCAGTACTAATGCCATGTGCATTATGTTACATAATGGTTGATATTTGATACCCTGCTAACAAGTAAGAACCAAGGAAAATGCGAGGGAATATTTAATCATTCAAACTGAAGGAATGTCAACTCCCATGAGAAGACTCCCTACAATCAGTCATGATTTGAGGAAGGCATACACCTTGGAATGACCTCCCAATAAATGGGAGACTTGCTCAAGAGAATTTACATAATTGAGTTTTCCCTTTCACTCTATGATAAACTCCTTTATAACAGGGGAAGAGCCCAACAATAGATGTGCTTTTTTGAATAATATAAAAGAAAACATAGAACATGGCATAAAAAAAACTCAGAGACCCTTCCCCCCTCCCAACAGCACTCAATGCATTACTTCTTTTGTGGATATATAAGCATACACTCCAAGGATGCAAATTTATGATCACCATCAACCTTCTTATATGTTTGTTTTGTATTGTCTATTCTTTTCATTGTACCTGTACACATATCACAAGAAAAAGCCCAGTAACTCTTGCTCATCCCACCAAATTCGAGATGACAAAAGGGTTGACAGTTACAAAATTAACATTCAGGATTGCATGATTGTAAGACAAACAATATGGCTTTTGCAGATTGAATATGGAAGAAATTTGGCCTAAATCAAAAGTTTTCTGCTTTCAAAATATTAATTAAAAAGAAACAAAAATACTAAAAGCTTTTAACTCAATGAACTTAGTGAGTAATCGGGGGAATTCAGTTACAAAACATTCTAAACGTATCTGATTTGAAGATACTAATTCAAAAGAATTTAAAAAACCTACTGCTTTTAACTTAATAAACTGAGTAATCAGGGGAATACAGTTACAAAATCATCTTAATATTATGCATGTTAAATGAAATATACAAAGTACCATATATAACAAGTTTAATGTCAAATTCGGACCTACTTGAATTTGACCTTTGTCATATTGGGGTGTTAATTTAATCTTGAAATTTTATATCACGGACTTGGAAGGTTCTCAAAATAAAGAGCATTTTTTTAACATCGAAACTGATTAAAGAAGCAAAGAAAGTGATCAACTGAAAAGAAAGGCTCAAGAAAAGTAAACAAACGTACATCAACAACACAAGCAAAGGAGAAATTTCAGAAATATACCTCGACAGCAAGTCGTGTAGATTCCATCACACGAACATAAACATAATCTGTTTTCCCTGCAATGATAAATACCAAACACAACTTATCCAATGTGAACATCAAAATTAGAGAAATATCAATTTAAAAAATGTATAGTTCTTTATATATAAGAAAAGTTGAATTTCTTAAAAATGAAGCATGTGATGATGTTAAGGCCAAGTCCTTTCACCTGATGATGAACTCTAACCACATAAAGACAGCCTTCAGTGAGAGGGCAGTCGATGTCCCGACTAGATAAGGCATAAGTCTCACATAAGGCATCACTTTGATTATCAAACAATGTGCAGCAAGTGACATTTAAGTAATAATACAACTCATACTAGGCCACCATATTAGTGTATTAACTATTAATTCTCCATACAAAACTTGTTTGAAAGGGAAAAAAAATGGATGTGATGCAGAGATATCACTGAAGTTTGCTTCATGTTTGATTGGGTTGCCCAGACTAATGACAATGAGGTCACCAAGTTTTGGACATTCCTTGTTCCCCCCCACCCCCCACAACCACCACCACCCAAATTAAACTCTCTTTAGTTCCCCCCCTCTCATACCAAAAGTGTGAAGTACCTTGCTGGAATTAATTGGTTTTAGTATTGAACTGCTTGGCAGATGACAAGCACTGTGCAGACAAGGTGTTTCACTAGGCTGTGATTGCATTAAGGGGAAGTAGTGGCTAGTGATTCTGAGGCAACGTATGGGCTGTCTGTATGCTACCATCAAAAGGCAATTCAACGGACAACTGATTCTGAGGAGTTTGTAACTAGCTAGGTAACATTGTACATCTTCACACTCGTATTTATAGTTAAGCTTAAGGATGACAAAGTTTGACACAACCAATCAACACAACTTGAACTCAACATGAATTAATTAGCGTGTTTGGGTTGACCTTGATCATGCCCCGTGCATTATTGTGTCAACACATTAACCCTTTAAAGCAAACAGATCGTGTTCAGGTTTGATGAATTAACCTGTTTAACCCTATTGGACCCGTTGAATCAATCGTGTCATGTTAGTAGAGACTTCATGGCACTATAGTGAAACCCCAAGGATGTATTTATTATGCACTGGGATGTCTTCCGACTATTCCCCAATTCATGAACTGAACTTGGATAGAAGGACAAGATGCCCTAGTACTCAGATCAGAAGTGAGACAGATGACCCCTCACTCACTCAAGGGATCGAGCCTCAATATGACGTGAAATCTCATAACCCTGCATAAATATTTTACAGCTTCATTTTAATATATTTTTCCCCTTTTTTTCAATCCTATTTTGGTATGTTAAAGAATCAAACCTACAAAATAGGGTGAAAGAATACATTGAAATAAGTAACTTCGGAAAAAGGAAATTAGAATGGAGAGCAAATTTGAAAAATATTGTGCGCATGCATTTTGAATAACATACCATCGGCCCTTCTGTATAAGGAGTCCAGAGGTACACAGTATCTACGGCAAAAACCTTCCGCAGCCTGACAAGTATTAAGAATTGATTAACCGAAAGGCAATTAGTACGATATATGGCAACAACTGAGATGCGGTTAGGTTAAAATTCTAATGTTAAACGAGAGAGAATGTGAACATTAATATCCTTGATATAGTATGAGGCATGGAATGGTATTTTTGTCTGAGTAACACACACAAAAGGAAAAAAATTCCTTCCATGAGAGAAATTTCACTCGTGTGCGAGCCCACACTTACATCCACATGTAGAAATGATTATCTATATAAACATAAAACAACAATATAATGGCATCAAATGCTTAGAAATGGAAAGTGGGGTGAATTTGAAGCAGGAATGCAATGTGTCAACATCATCTGCAAGAGTACATTCTGTTCCCAAACCCACCTCAGCCCAATTCAGGAAGGGTGAGTTGACCGACTAACCCAGCCCATTGCATCCCTAGACATGCGTCAAATTCAATGCTAACACATTATAGTATTGGCATTAGTAATCCAACTACATAAATCAGACTGATATCCACTTTTGTAAAGCATGAAAAACTTCTGTAAACAGGATGGCAAAATACCTTTGTAGCATTTCCCTCATGGTCAAAAGCCTTTAAAACCGGAGGTCCTCTGACCTCAACCTCATTTTCCGTTTGCCTAGGGCAGAGGCTCTCTACACGAACCTGCAAATACCATACAAAACAGCTTTTCAAAATTAACAATGTAAAGATATACAATGTTGAGAGGACAATAAAATGTAGAAATGAAACACAGAATTGCCTCTATATAATTTGTAGAGGAAACTCAAACTTATAACCAAACCCTCATGGATTTGAAACCATCTAAATATGTTGTAGATCAAAATCAGGCTATTAACACTGATAAACTATTTCGTTCTCCAAATACAATGTCAACATAAAACCAAGACACTGTCAACAAAACCAGAAGAATAGATGAATAAAACAGTACCACAAGTCTGCGTGGTGTGCCAAATGCTTGCACTTCACCATGGCCCAACCTTTGTTTTTCCAATAACTGCACAATTAGATCTTTAAGCTGCGATGACCAGAACAGAAGAATGGTCAGCAGATAGCAATTAAATGGAAGTACAAAAAATTTGCCGATAACTACATACATTGAGTTATGACAAATTCATTCATTCTTGGACTACCAAAAAAGAATGGAAGAGTAAGTACAGAGAGAAAACAATGTAATAGGTACTATTGCTTATGCGAAAATGAACTATATACTTGCTGGCCTGCATTAACTACATCATGAGATGGCAACTCTTCTGTCCCAATTTCAAGAATAAACAACCTTGGTTCCGCAGCCACCTGTGTAACATAATAATCAGATGGAAACTAATCAAAAGAACGGTATTAAATTTATAACAAAAGTTTCTTTCACTGTCAAGATTAGACTAAAATTTTTTGAAGTTAATAATAGTCCAACTGAAGTTGGATATCTGAGTTTTTTTGTTACTTTACTAGGTTCCATTATCTTTTGAAAATAAGGAAAGGAGGATGATAGATCCTAGTTCTTAACTATCCCCAATAAGAAAATAGATCGTAGAAAATAATAAAAACAAAACCAAAAAACACCTTCAACAATGGCAAGGAAACAAACGAAGAAACAGAAAAAAATAAAAACGACTCTGATGAGGAAAAAACATTTCACATCCATCAAGATATTCAAAAACCTAAGAACACAAAATTAATTCCAAAAATGCTATACATAAAGTTTTAACAAAGTGAATAACAAAACAATTACCTAATTGTCACTTCAAAACAAAATAATAACTGATAAAAGTATTCAAAAATAGATAGTGATCAAAAGGGAAAACATCTAAGCTCTACACACTAACATAATTTTTTATACACAGTTAAAACTCTCAAATATAACCCTCGAAAGTCCTTTTTCTTTTTTCCTAGTCTAAAGACCTTTTTCTTTTTGATAACTCAGAATTCTGGAAAGTCATGAGACATCATATTATCATAAAATAATAAATAAATAAAAGAAAATAAGAAGTATGGCCAAAATGAGAACGCCCAGATGGAAGCTTTGTCTACATGGTTTGTTGCCTCCCTTGCACTACACATTACTATGAGATTTTAACCTACTTTCATTCTCCATTCTTCTCCTCTTCTGCACTATATCTACTCTTCAGTATTTAAACACAGATAATTTTAGTGGCCTTCTTACTTTTTTGTGCTTGCTAGACTGTTTTGGTACTATTCCTAACTTGTGGTTACATTAGATGATTGAGTGAATCAATCTTTTCTCTTTAAGGTGGCCTGATTTCAATTTCCTTCCTCTGTTTTCTGTTTGGCATTCATGAAAACATAATTGATTAGTACGCTAAAATCACATACATAAAATTTTTGAGAATTTCTAGAAGTTCAAGCAATCCAAGGTCTGCATTACAAGCAGGGGCGGAGCCAGAAATAATTATTTCCGGGGGGGGGGGGGGGGGGGGGGGGAGAGCAAAACTAATATAAAATATAAAAATAATTGTAAAGATATTTTTTTTCTTTTTGTAGTGCATTTTTAACATATTTTGTTAAAAGTATGTTTATAAATCATATGACCAGAAAATGGGGAGAGGAACCATTGAGTTTGGCATTACAAGTAGGGGCGGAGCCAGAAATTATTATTTTGGGTGTGGGTGTGGGTGTGTGTGTGTGTGTGTGGGGGGGGGGGGGGGGGGGGGGGGGTTTGGGTTGGAAACTTATATAAAATTAAAATTAAATAATTGTAATGATATTTTTTTTCTTTTTGTAGTGCATTTTTAATGAATTTTGTTAAAAGTATGTTTACAAATCATATGACTAGAAAATGGGGAGACGAACCATTGAGTTTGTCAAGTGTCAAGCTTTTTTTCCTTCTCTCTAATTCATGACAAATAATATATGTATATGTGTGTATATATGAATAGATAAGAGTATGTTCCAGGCTTCTAGCAAGGATTACAATAATATATTTTTAAAAAATAATGTACTAAATCTGCATTCTTTTAATCAAAAGATTCTTTAAAGTTTGAAGGGCTTACAAATAAATTCATCTTCAATCCACCTTTATAACCACAAGCTAACCATAAATAAATTAAAAATTAAAAATTGGGGAACCAATTTTAATTTTCTATAGAAAATCACCATTAATGATTATACCATAAATATAGTTTTCCAAAAAAAATTGGGGGGCCATGGCCACCCCTCCCTCCGCCCCTAATTACAAGTTACAATTTAGAAACAACAACAATCATAATACGGGATCAAATCTACTGAAGATTATATTGTCAACTAAACCACAGAATCAGTATGAGGATGACCGATAATGGAAAATTCCAAGAGAATTTAGGAAACAATAAATCCATGTGTAAGTGGGAAAAAGAAAAAGAGCAAGAAGAACATTTTTCTTTTTATTTATTATTTTTGAGAGGGGGTGGGGGGGACAGCTAGCGAAAACATTTAAGTTGCCCTAACCAAACCTTATTAACTGCTGCCTCCAGGACTTCTTTTGGGCAAGCAAGAGGGTCAGGTTCAGAAATAGTACCCAGAGGATGGCCAAGAGACTCCCTTGTCTTTAACCAAAGTTGAGCACATTGACGAGCTAAACTGAAAAAGAAAAAATATATCTAATAAATAAAATGAAAGGAAATTGGGAGGATCAGTAGAGTACAAAATTCTGAAGCCTGTCAAAAATTATAGTAGAAAGAATGAAATCTAAAGTCTAACAACCCACCATATATATGGAATTATACATAAAAAAAATAAAAATAAAGTAATTCACTACTAAGAACTGTAGTCAGTGGTATCTGCTCTACCTTTCTAAAGTGGAAGGTCAAGGGTACAGAGGGGCAAAAAATGAATGTGTGAGTTACTTGCCAAGGTAAAACTAAAAAAATGAAGTTTAAAAAAATAAATAAATAAATAAATAAAATAAAAAAAACACCAGAGAAAGAGAGAGAAGAAGAACATCAACATTTGCAGAAATAAACACAAATAAGAAACAAGACATTAGACAATATATAATCACATCTATTGCATTTCCTGACAAAAGAGACGAAGACACTAGACAATATATAGTATATATAATCATGCCTATTGCATTTCCTGACAAAAGAGATGGAGTCCTACAGAATTCCAAAAAATTTGATCACAAACTTGGACATTGGTTTCATGAAACTGGAAAATCACATCACTTCCAATTCAATCAAATGTGAAGCTCCACGAAACTACTGGTAGTTAAAAACTCAACAGCACCCAGAAGCCTTTGAACTTTAGAATGTTTAACTCTAAAAGATCACTTTGACCAACTTTTATTTGTGTTTTTTTTCTTTGGGGGCGGGGAAGGAACAGAAAAGTAACCTCACCTACGCATCCGACCAAAATAACGAGCACGTTCAGTTACCCCGACAAAGCCTCGAGAATCTAAGATGTTAAAAGCATGAGATGTCTTTAAAAGCTGATCATACCTAGCACGTTGCAGAGAAAATACTAATTAGTAGAGAATTTTGACTAAAAGATTCTGAACATATATGGTATACAATAGAAGGGACATGAAATTCTAATACATACGCAGGTATTGCAAGTCCTAGATCAAGCAAAGACCGAGCTTCTTCCTCAAAATAATCGAAGTGTTTTTTTATATGATCAACACTGGCATGCTCTAGATAATATGCACTCATTTCCTTCCTGAAACAGATACAAAAGATACAAAACCTTTTTTTAACACAGTAAAGAAAGAGGCATGACCAAACTTGAGAAAGTTGATATTCTGAAGTGAAAAAGACAGCAAAGAGGACAGGAAGTTCACAGATTATGACTACTAAACAGTACACTTTTTTAAATATCTAAATCATAGTAAAAATAAATAAATAAAGAAGGTGGGCATGCAAAACATAATTCCAGATTCTTGGAAGGGCCTCCCAAAGATTCAATATTTTAACTGGATCTAATAAAAAGCATATCACCCGTGCACAGCATCAAAATATACATATATATTAGAGCGCACGCCTAATAAAGGTCTGGCCACTTGGGGGAAAAAATAAAGGTTTGGCCTTCAAATCATTGTATTATCAATGAAAGAGATGAAAAAGAACAATGAACAAGTCCAATTGACCCAAATATACAGAGGTAGGTGTCATATGCAAGATGAACATAGAGAAAAAAAAAAAAAAAAAAAAAAAACTTTTTTTTTTATTAGTTGAGTGAGAGTAAGGAATTTCTATTCTATAATCTTTGAAAAAAAAATTGTTTTTATGACAACAAAAAGGTGTATATATATTTTCAACTGAATCAACTCATTTGTTCATTTTCCTTTTTCACTGAAGTAAACTACTAACATTACTTGTAAAATTTATACTTATCAGGGGGGAAAAAAAACATTACTGGTAAAATTTACAGAGAATTTTGCAATTCTATACTCCTTAGCTACTAAGGGCTTAGCCAAAAAGATCTACATCGCTTTTCCCTTTTATCAAGAAGTATAATAAATAGTTGTATACTTAGATACCTGCCAATTTACATCATATTGAACCTTGCAAAAATAAATTAAATTCTTGAACTTTCTTAAATTTATGAAAACCGTCCATCCTACTAGAAAGTGAAATGTGATCCTTGAGATTTCAGCCAGTCTCAAAAAGATTAGGACATGAATTTAAATTTTTTTTTTTTTTTGATAAGTAATAATGAATTAAAAAAGGCGTTCAAAAGGGGAACGCGTCCCTTAAACATTAGAGGAACCGAGGTCTAAGGCCCCAAAGAATCCAAAAAAGTAATTAAGTCATCAAAAGAGGAACAAGAACTCCTCTTCACATAACTAAAGAGAGAACGAATAATAACAAGTTTCAGTGTCGCCGTAGACGACTCCTTCCCTTCAAACATTCTACTATTTCTCTCCTTCCAGATGCACCACCAGACGCAATGTGGGACAGTTCTCCAATAATCACGAACACTCTTACTCACACGACATTCTCTCCAGGCATGAATCAATTCCTTAGTTGAACATGGCATTACCCAACACAAGCCAAACAATCCAAGAATAAGATTCCAACAATCAACTAACTCCCCATCTTGCTTGCATAGGCAACACCAATTAACAAAACAATTTCACCTCTTCCTCAAATTATCAATCGTCAGTATCTTACCCCAAACAACGGTCCAAACAAAGAATGCCACCCTAGTAGGAGCCATAGAGCGCTATATGGTCTTCCATGGGAAGTCAGCGCTGACAAAATTAGACAGACATAAGAACAAAGATCTTACTTCAAAACGACCGTGAGAAGAGGGAATCCATGTCAAATTGTCCTAACCCCTGCCAATTCCTTCTTGCCGATACAATTGGTCCAGAAAAATACTCACCTCATCCAGCTCCCAATCTTGAAATGAACGCCAAAAATGCACATTCCACGCAATCCCACTATTATCAAGCCGATAACAGTCAGCTACGTAGGCATGTTTATCAGCTGCAATACTGTATAGTCTGGGAAATGTACAAAATAATTTATGATCCCCACACCAAAAATCTTCCCAAAAACGAACGCAACTACCATCACGAACTTTAAATCTAATATGAGAGGAGAAGGCGTCCCATCCCTTCCGAATAGATTTCCATGCCCCAACTCCTCCCGCAATAGAAGCAGGACGTGTAGTCTAACTGCCAACGTCTTCCCCATACCGACAAGAGACTAAGCTTCGCCAAGGACGATGTCTTTCCTTCCCGAATCTCCACAACCATTTGCCCAAAAGAGCTTGATTAAAAGGAATCAATCATCTAATACCAAGACCACCCAACTTCATACGCTTCCAAACTTGCTCCCATCTGACAAGGTGATACTTGAACTCTTCTCCCCTTCCGCTCCAAAGGAAATCCCTTTAAATTTTTTCAATCCTATCAGCAACGGAGCATGGAATTTGGAACATAGATAGAAAATATGTGGGAAGGGTTAATTAAGTGCTCTTGATAAGAGTTACTTTGCCCCCCTTAAACAAATATTGCTTCTTCCATCCTGCTAACCTCTTTGCATACCTGTCAATCACAGAATCCTAACTCCCCACTATCTTGGAAGAGACCCCTAAGGGCAGACCCAAATAAGGAATAGGAAAGGAACTCACCCTACACCCAAGTACTGTAGCTAAAGAAGAGATATCATGAACATTCCCAACCGGGACAAGCACAATCTTAGCCACATTTACCTTTAGCCCGGAAACCGCCTGAAAACAAGCCAAGATGCACCTCAAATATCTAAGTTGTGACACATCTGCATCACAAAAAACCAAGGTGCCATCTGCAAATAGCAAATGAGAAATCTCCACCTGATGGACTATATCTCTTCCTACCCTAAATCCCTTAATGAGACCAAGATCCTCTGCCCTGCACATAAGTCTAATTAAGCCCTCCATAACAATTAGAAAGAGGAAAGATGACAATGGATCACCTTATCTTATACCCCGAGTGCACCCAAAAAAACCAGCGAGAGAACTATTCACAAGAATTGAGTACTTGACAGACGAAAGACATGTCTCAATCCATTTCCTCCATCTACTTCCAAATCCCATTCTTTATATCAATTAGAGTAAAAAATTCCAATTTACATGATCATAAGCTTTCTCAATATCAAGTTTGCATAGAACTCCAAGAACACCACTGCACAATCTTGAATCCACACATTCGCCTGCAATAAGAACTGAATCAAGAATTTTCCGTCTACAAAAGCATTCTGGGAATCTGAGATAATCCCCATCCATAACTTTTTCTATCCTTTGAGCAAGCACCTTAGCTATAAGTTTGTAAATACAACCCACTAAACTAATAAGACGGAAATCCTTAATGTCAAAAGCGCTTCCCTTTTTAGGGATGAGGGCAATGAATGATGCATTTAGCGACTTCTCAAAGACACTGGTAGAATGAAACTCCTGAAAGGTACCCATCACCTCATTTCTCACTACCGCCCAACTTTCCATCAGAAAACGCATAGTAAACCGTTCAGGCCCTGGAGCTTTGTCCCCATTACAACTTGATAAGGCCTTTAGAACTTCTTCTTCAGTAAAAAGAAGCTCTAGCCTATCTCTCTCCATCTCAGAAATTAGCCTCAAAAGGGAGTCCATCAAGTTTGGGTCTCCAACCTAATGGTTCTGTTAAGCTTCTGATAAAAAGAAATTATCCCGTTACGCACCTCTTCCTCCCTCCACAGCTCCACAACTTCCACCCATATGTGTCCTATGTGATTACTCCTTCTAGAAACATTAGCTAGTCTATGAAAAAAATTTGCGTTACGATCTCCCTCTTTCAACCAAAGAGCCCAGGATTTTTGTCGCCACGAAATCTCCTCCATGCTAGCAATCTCAGCAAGAACTGCCTGACATGAAGCTCTCCTAGTACAAAGAGACTCCACATTCCCGCCTGCCTCCTCAAGACAATCAATCTCAGAAAATTCAGCAAAGACTCTATTCTTCCTCCATTCAAGATTCCCAAAAACATCTTTATTCCATTGCTTCAGATCGAATTTGAGAGCTCTTAACTTCTATGTTAATATGAAGCTGAGCGCACTGTAACTATCGCTCCCTCCCACCAAAATTGTACTTTCCCTTAGAAGTCCTCCGCTCTCAACCACATATTCTCAAATCGGAACGGGGTTCTTTGAGAACACAAACTCCCACAATCCAAAACCAAAGGAACATGATCATAGGTAACCCTTGCTAATATCGCCTGAACAACATCCGGGAATTTTTCTTCCCACTCGCCAGAGATCAAAAATTTGTCCAGTCTTGAGAGAGTAGTTGGATCCCTGCCATTAGACCAAGTATAGGTTGCACCTTCCATTGCTAGATCAATGAGAAGATGCTCATCAATGAAGTCGGAAAACTGATCCATCTCTAATACAGTGCACCAGCTCAGAGCTTAAGATGAAAATTTTATTGAAAGAATCATGTTTTCTCACTAAAACATTAATGCTCGGTTTGGTAGGAGGTACAGATGGAGGGATAGAACAAGTTTCCTGAGTTTAGTAGGAGGGAAAGTTGGAGGGAAGTTAAGGATGGATGGATGCCTCCTCACTCATAAATTTTCATCCCCTCAAAATTGACATAAGAGATGAGGGAAGAGAAGGATAATTATTATACATAATGTGCAGTGACAATATCGCCCTTAACCAAATTTGGTCAAATTATATAACAAGGATATAATATAATGGTAATAAAATATAAAAATATATAACAAGGGTATGATAAAATATATAACAAGGGTATAATTGACTGTTATCATCTTGATAGCAGAAGTTTGCGTCTTTTTGAACCTGTTGTATTGACAGAAGGATGTTGGCAGAGGTTGTGATGACATTTTGTGGACCCCCTCTCTTCATGGTAGATACGAAGTTCGATCCATGTTCTTGTGTTTGTCTAATTTTATTGGACATAATTTCCCAAGGAAGTGTATTTGGCGCTCTAAAGCTCCTCTAGAGTCAACTTCTTTGTTTGGACTACTACCTGGGGAAAAAATTCTAACATTGGATAATCTGCGTAAGAGAGGTAATATAATTGTTAACTGGTGCTGTCTCTGTAAAACTGATGGTGAGTCCGTGAACCATCTTCTTATGCATTGTCCTGTTGCATCTGATTGTTGGAATCTCATATTCAGTATTTTTGGCATTCAGTGGGTAATGCCTAAGCACTCTTTCCAATTAATTAACGGTTGG